AATTCCATTTAATTATTGATGGCAAACATGTGGATAATCAAATACATGAAAGTTAAACCTGCAAAAGTCAAGTAAGTACAAATAAGTACAAATGTCCTTATGATACCACACAACCACCTTTTTGATCATGTCAAGAATATACACTGATACAGGAGGTGCTCTTTTTACAAGTTGCCCTCCAGAAACAGAGTGAGATAACACAATGAGAACAGGGAGAACATCCTTTCCTTCCCTGCATGTTCAGCATTTCTGGATATAGAAAATCTTACAGGACTTGTTTCTCTGAAGCATTTTAAATGTGAACCTCTCTATAAACTTACTCTAGTTCCTTCTTCCACTATCAAGGCTCCTATGACAGCACTAATCTGCTCTATATGTGCAGTAATCCTTCCTCAGAGTCATACAAATACAAACTGTTTTGGATGGGGAACTATAGATAGTTCAGCAGTTAGTTCACCTGCCTGTGTGTATTCAGCTATTGCACTGCCTGCTTCAGTTATTTCTTCACCAAAGCAAAACATGTCAGTTTACTTCACCTGAAAAATAAATGGCCGGGCAGTTGCTCAAGGTGAATCCCACAGGAACCACTTACTGGTTTTATATAACATGAAAACATTCGTGTGTAACTATCCAGAGTTGTGTTATGTTGAACAAACCTAGACCATTTCCTACAGGTTGGCATGTTCATGGGAAAGTAGCCCACCTGATACCCCAGGGCTTGTCCTGGGTTTGCTGGACACACTGTAGATTGCCATGCCACCGAGGCAACCACCCCTCTGATGGATCCACGGTAACAGTGAGTGATGAGCCACTTGGCAAGAGCTGCAAAAGCTCTTACCAATCTTGCCAACCTCACCCAAGCTACCACCACAAAAAGAAAGGCCACAGCTGTCAAAAAAGGCGTTTCTTCTTAAAACCATCCAACAAATCTTTGCATTTGTTTTTTGACAGGGTAATAAATGCAAATTCATACCTGCATATTTGACATCTATCAAAAGAAGTGTCTGTGAAAGGGCACAGCCTCATGATCTAAACTTTCCTGAGTAACCGGAGATTCAAGAAAGTGAGGAAAAGGTGTTGGCAGTAGAAGCTATGGAGCAGATACTAAAAACACTGAGCATCTCACTGCGAGGAAAAGTCACCACCCCATTTTGCAAGCAAAGATCCCTCACAGGATTCCTGTCAAGTCAAGGCAAAGTAACAGAATAACCTATTTGCAGGCTCTCTTGGTCATTATCCATTGTTGTCCATACCTGTGGCAATTTGACAGCAGGCATGAGGACCCGGGAAGCCTTATCCTATCAGCCATTCAGTTATGTACTTGTTCCAGAAAACTGAGATTTTTTTTAAAATGAAAATATTTGCATACATTCTATTACATGAAAATTAATTTTGAAAAAGTGGTGGACCACTGACAGCCCTCCAATGTGATATACTTGAGCACTCTGGAGGGAATGTCTGTGGCTCTCACATCAGAGAAGATGAAAGGTGATCTCTGGAAATGAAAGGGAAAATAGGACAAAAAAGACCATGGCAAGTGTAAAAGGATTCAGAAATGGAACGAGAAGAGAGCTAACTTCAGTTACCAAGTCTCTAAGGATAAAGGGAGCCCTATTGTCAGGCAAATCATGGGAGGTTCAGTAGACAACCAATCCACCATTAGTGATTCACAGGTTTGTTTAGCATGTTGTGTGAATGTGACCTTTCCTCCTTACACTCAAGTACATCAGCCTAAAATTATTGCCCAGATAGTCTTCCATTTACTCATGTATTTTTAGTTTTAGTTCTCCCATATTCTAAAGTTTTAGACTGAGTAATAATGTAAAAGAATTGAATTTCCAGTTTTAAAACTTTTTTTAACTATTTCTTTGTTTTTGTGATATTTTTATTGTAGTTTATTGCTTTTTTATGGATTGATATAAACCCCCAGAGAAATTCAATTATGGGCCAGTATAGAAATGAAGTAATAACAGCGCCCTCTATCAGTTGAGCCCTCTCTGTAAAAACAGCCTGTATAGCCTAACTATTTCTGTAGCCAAGGAAGAAACAAAGCCAGGAGAAGCAGATGTAGAGCAACAGGTTAAGTCCACTGCTGCACCAAACCTAAGTGCAAGCCTAAGTTGAACTTTCCAGCAAAATCGGGCCTCCTCACATGACCTGACTGTTCTGGTTTATGGACCATCAAAGGGCTTCCTGAGTTCTAACTGGTCAAGATATAAAACAACAGGAATTCCTAGGAATTTTTATACATCATGCCTCAGTTTCAGTCTAACTTCATATGAGGATACTCTGAAAGACAGAATTGGGAAAGAAGGGAATTTTTGCCAATTCCCCCTTTCCTGTACTGTCCTTCCTGTAAAGCTGCCTCAGAGGATTGGTGGATCCTCTGGAACAGTGTGGGAGTTAGCAATTAGGACAAACATGCCTTCCTGCCTTCTGGCAGTGAAAGCTTTCTGTGAATCAAAGGAGGATCCAAGTCTAGGCTGTTCATAACTTGACCAGATATTCTCTGTTGACTGGTTAAAACAAAAACAAAAAAATGGATCAAGTTGAAAGTATGAAAAAAGAATTATGAAAGAAAAATTACCCATGTCATGAGTGGAACCGGCTGGAACTGGGGGTCAGACTAGATGGCCCGGGAGACCCCTTCTGATTCACTTTGTTTCTATCTTTCTTATAAAAGTATTAATGTCTTAAATACATCTTAGTAGGAAATTTAAAATGGTCTTTGTGTTTGTGAGAGGTATTAAACATAATTGAAAAATAAAAACCCTTCAAAACAGGCAAACATGTAGCCAAGACAATTATGCAGGACAAATGTTATGTTTTAAAATGCCAACTTTGATTTCTAGAAATCTAACACTATTTTTCCAGTCTTTTGAGTTGACTACTCTGAAAGTATCACAAGTTTTCCACAGATGGCTACATGTGGTACCCAGGTGGACTCCCATCCAAGTTCAGGCCAGCCCCAGATTTAAGTCATCAATGTGGTGGATACCTTATGTGATTTTAGCCTATACTCTGGGCCTTTCTGAAACCCAGGAAAGTAAGGATCAAATACCTGACCAAGTACTTGAACTACATTCCACAGTGTGGGAATAACAAGGAAAAACACCTTTTACATGTGTCTTGCAAACAGGCATCTGCAGGTAATGATGCCTCAGTAAGGGCTCTTCTGCAGATCTTGACAGCAGGGGGAGACTCCTTCTATGAAAGGACTGTCCTTTGATAGCAGGGTGTAGCTGGAATATAGGTATTAGTATAAGCCGTCCTGAGGCTATGCAATGGAATGGCATACAAATGCTCTAAATAAATAAATAAATAAATAAATAAATAAATAAATAAATAAATAAATAAATACTTAATCAACTCAAATCTTTAGTTCAGATAAATTTGTATCCTTTGACTTATGTTTGTGCCACCTTTCCACCAAGTAATACCACCATTTATCTCTATCTTATCCCTATCATAATAACTTGCCATTAGCAGTGGTAGTTTCCATTTTAAAATCCAGTGAAGTCAATGAGCTTTCACAATAGCTTTACATTGCACCATGTCGGTCTATCTCTCCTCCTCATATTGAAACAAACTGGTTAAGTGGACTCTAGCATGAAATAAATAATAAAGAGCAAGATTCCACAGCTCAGCACAGGGTGAACTACAGGACAAGAATTTGTAACTGCAGTGAAGTGGTTGTTTTTTCACTGGTCTGCCAGTTTCAAGAACTGTTTTGACAATTCTCAGTAATCATTTCTACAGAGAGCCACAATTCCACCCTAAATTACACACTGGACAGTACGAATCCCTTCCCACTCTAACTGAATATAAACTCAGAATAGACAATGTGGTATTTTCTTGGCAAATTTTGGAATCAGAAATGGAATTGCAGACAAGTCACACTAATGATCAGATTTTTTTCCCTGCCTTGTTCAGATTCAAAAATAAAGATGAGTCTGGTTTCTACAAGGAATTAAGCTATGCCCTCTTCTTGGTCTCATTGTTCTGATCACTGTGGGTGGGATCTAGGATCTGCATTCTGTAAAAGGAAAAACACTGCATGGAAAGTAGCACTGCCCGATTTGGGAGATTCCTCTCTCTGCTCCATACCACACCTTATCCCATTCAGCAGGATTTCCTGCCTCCCTGTGTAGCAAAGTCCACCTCTTTCAGAGCAGTGTACTATGACTCTGAATTCAACACTATATCTCTGCATCCGCTTTTCTCCTCAAATGAATGTGTAAGTCTATCACAGCAAAACCAGCCAAGAGTTGTGTGGCACAAATTTTCAACTATAATCCATTGTGTATTTGTATTTTCTTAGCAAGAAAGAATTTGTACAGTACATCGGATCATTGGTGAATTATCCAATAATTGGTGGTTCATGAAAACTAATGCCATACCAGCTTTGTTAGTGGCTGTCAGCAGTATCAAAGTGATCTAGGCTGCGTGAAGGTGTCTGATGAAGCACTGATGGCGGTGGTGAGGGAGGAGTAAGGCACGGGGCAGCGTGGCAGGTACTGCGTCGGAAGTTCTGCTCTTTCCTGTGATCAGGAGAGGAGGCAGGCAAGTCTTCTATGACCCCTTACAGCTGCCATCTCCAACGCCGCCAGCGTTCCTAACCAGCACGATCATTCTGCCAGTGGATGATGGGAGTTGTAGTCAAGGACATCTGAGGGAGCCCGCGCTGGGAAACGTTACCTTAAGGGTTCTTATTCAGTGACGGTGACCTAGTTGCACAAAAGGTGCAGGAAAAAGTTGGGGCTGGAGAATAAGCACAAAGTGAATGCCACACGCCCAAGGAACCCTTCTGGGACGTGAACACCAGCGGGGCCCGGTGGCTTCCTTCAAGGCTGTTTTGAGCCCGTCTAACTAGGGCCCCCCAACATATGATTGCCCAGCTCCCGCGGAGCCCGGTAGATAAAAACTTCCGGGTCCTCTCGGCGCCCGCCTCGCCCGCCTCCTCCTGGCCCTTTCCTTATGACGGGCGCGGAAGTCTCGCTGCAGCCGTCCTTCCCGCTCCTCGGGCCGGCTGCGGCCGCGAGTTCGCGGCTGCTGGTCGCGCTGTGGCGGGCGAACTGCAGCGCCTCTTCAAGGGACCCGTGCAGCCAGTAGGTAACGGGGCTCCATCGGGCTGGGGGGAGTGCGGGTTCCCCGGGCGCCCTCGCCCCGTCACGGGCATGCTCCCGCTCCGCTCCCCTGTAAAAAGAGGGTCTTCCTACGGCAGTGGGCCGACAAACATGGCCCTATCGGCGGGTTTCAGCTCAGAACTGACGCAGAATAAATTCAACGTGCTGGCGTGTCGTTTTTTGTCTGTATGTCTGTTTGTTTACATGCAACTGTCTTCCAGATCAGTAGATTTATGAATGATATGGCAAAGGCACCCAGTCATTTGCATTTTAAATAAGGAAAGCAATCGTATTTCAGTTTATTACATTTCCCGTTTATAAACTATAAACTATTCGGTTTATATACTGTTACGTTTATACTAATTGTGAAGGAAGGCAGATGTCTGCAGTCTAGTGTTACTGATGGCACAGCTTGTCAGAAGAACTAGTAGGAAAGCCATGGGAGGCCTACCCAGACACAGGCCTGGACACTGGACCTGAACCAGAGCCTTTCTGCCAAGGGACCCTGTGCCGAGATACAAGTTGCTAGTCGATGTAAGGTTGCTACCCTAGCATCAGAAGCATATACCTGTCATCTTTGGTCAGTCAGAACATAATATATTCCGGCCACAACTGCCTACCAAAAGGTTGTCTCTTTTTGGCGTTCCTGAACACCCCTCATTGCAGTGAAACATATTGAATAGAGTCAGTTGTCACGTGCCTTCTGTGCCATATGCTTGGGATGCATAGAGCTCCTTCATGTGAGGAAGGAAGATGAACTTGAAGCTCCTGGGACTTGAAATAACAGATGTCGAGGTAGTGAGAGCACCCAAGGGGGAATGATGGAGCCTGAGGTCTATGGGACTGGAATGGGCCTAGTGCACTTTTCTAGGCTCGGCTTCCCCACAGCCCCACTTCATTCAAGCTACAGGGCAGTCATTTGAATCCAGTGGCCCCATGCACCATCGCTTCAGCCCTTGGCGTTGGCTGTCTCGGCTCTCATGGCCTTTCATTGCTATTCCCTAAAAGTGTTTCCTTTCAGTGTTGTTAATATTGTTTGCTTATTTTTTGAGAGCAAACAATGAAATGAAAGCCATTCTGAAATGGCTTCAAATTCTTCCAGTGTAGAGCACAGAATTTAATAAATCATATCAAACCAAACATCAAAACTAACACTTCAAATGGTAAAACTACAAGCATCTCATTTTATTTATGTACGTATGACCCTTTCTATGTCATCTGATTTCTTCTTGCCTTATCTGTAGTACATTGATTTCAGTGGAGCCCGATCAAGTCAGCTGACATTTACAGCTTTTTTTCTCTTATGGACATTCAGATAGCATTCATTGTTTCCAATGTGTGTGTGTGTGTGCGCGCATGCGCATGCACACACACACATTATCAATCATTATGGCGTGAACTTTTACAGACAAGAGCCTGTTTTGTCAGAATAGGGTGTTGTTTTAGACTATTGTTAGCCATAGCAGGCGGGTTAATAGATAGTCGAAACCTTTTGCCTCTTTTAAAACTCTTTGCTATTTATAAGTTTAGAAATGTGCAGCCTATACCTTTACTTAGAAAGTAGACGCACTGAGTTCAGTGGTACCTACTTCCAGGTAATATTGTAGCTGCAATTTGTTGTGATCTATATAGAGTCATAAGGTCTTGTATAGCTGAGTCAATAATTCCTAGTATTTTTTTCTATCTTTGGTGACTTTTCAATATGGTCATTTTGCATGCTGTGTTAAATCCACAAATTTATTGTTCTTACATCAAATAGTGTTCAAACCTATGGTGACCCTCCAAAATGTCCTGTCCTTGACAGCCCTGCTCAGTTCTTCAAGGCTCTGGCTTCCTCTACAGAATCAATCCATCTCATAGCCTTCCTCTTCTTCTACTTTTGACTTTCTCAAGCATTATTGCCTTCATGAGACTTTCTTTCTCACAAAGGCCTCTCATGCCCAAAGTACATCAGCTTCAGTTTTAATCATATTTACTTCTAGGCAAAGTTCTGGCTTAATTTGATCTAGGACCCCCCTTTTTTGTCTTTCTGTTGGTCTAGGGTATAAATTAATATATAATGCAAGAATATTTTTCCCACACTATCATTCCATAGTTATAAATACTGTCTGATGGACTGTTAAAGATATCTTTGACCAATCATTGTCAATAAAGGTCTTAAGACTACAAAGCTTCAATTCTATCCATCCTGCCTTAGAAGTAAGACCCTTAAATTATTTACTTTTGAGTAAATTCACAAGGGGTCTGACTTTTATCAAAGTATGGTAACTTTCTTCTGCTGATTAGAGAGATTTTCAAATAATTTTCTGAAGTGGACATAAAAAATTATTAGGCTTCCTTATTATTCATTCATTTTATAAGATCTGTAACCTACTTCCTAATTGTTCTCTTGAAGCAGCTCACAGAATTTGGAACATACTCTCTAGTTTTAGTGCATTTTTGTGTATTAACATTCCTCTTTATAGGCACACATACATTCCTCTCTCTCTCTCTCTCTCTCTCTACATAATTTGGAAAAGAATTAGCTGTAGCAGCAAATTCTCTGAAAATGGAAGAAAAAAAAACCAAGAGGAGGAGTCCTAAGTCATCCAGTTCTCATATCAGTCAGGTAGTCAACAATAAGAAGAACTCGGTGCCTCCTAGCAAAAGTACAGCATTTTCAAATTCTGCTCCCCAGCCACCTTTACAGAGACCAAAGTTTAAGAGGTAAGTACTGGTATGATGATTGCTATTCACAGTTGTGGGTTCTAACATTTGCTGGCAGGGAGTAGATGATACAAGGAAATTCAGATTGCAATCCTATACTCACCTAACTGGAATTAATTTCTCTCCGAATTTGATGCTGTACTTCTCACTAGGCATGTATAGGATTGTACTACCAGTGCCAGTTTTAGGAAAGCCACAAACATTTTTTTAAAGAATCAAACCAGAAGGACATCAGATATTTATATTTACAAATCAATTGCATTTTAAGCCAAGGTACCAAAGACTATATATAAGCATATAACATAAACCTACTAAAATAATAACAGCATTGACTAATTCGATGATTGGGACATTACCTTTATTATTCATAAATCTGGAATGGACATTTTGCATGATATGTAAACAGACTTTTCTCCCTTGACCATGGAGGATGTTATAAGATGGTCCTACACATGTACAGGTAACAGGACCTAACAGCTTCAGTTGCTCCTCCAAGACTTGATCTCTTCTTCCCATCTGTCATCATCTTAGCTAAAGTCAGGAAAGGACAGTATACCTCAGATGGAGAAAATAATTGGTGACTCCCTCACTGTTATTGTCCCTCATGTGTCAGTGTCATAAACACAAGTGCCAGAACATCCCTTCCAAAGAGAATCTGGCTGTGCAGCAGTGTAACCTGCAACATGGCAAGCAGGGGATGACATTAGGGAACTCCAAGAGTCCTGATAGATGGATGCTGGAAGAGCAGAAGATAGATAAGATAACCAAAGGTATGACCATTGTTTGGGGGATAGGGACTCTTTTAGCCTTCATCATGGTCAGTGCCACTCATCTCTTCATGCAGAATTCTAAGTTAGGAAGTTAAATCCTATAGGAGAAGCCCACTGAGTTCTGAATGTCTCAAAGGCAAGAACAAACTGTAGCTAGAAGAAGGGCCAGGCTCAAACACAATGTTTCAGGTCTCACTACAAATTATTCTTTTTCTGTGGTTTAGGTTACATTTCTGACCCAGCCAGGGAAACCCATGCCCTTTACTCAAGTAGATCTGGATCTTCTCAGTAGGCACCTGATGTCAGAAGAGGAGTGCTTCTAAGAGGAAGCTTCACTTGGTTTGGACCTCAGAGCTATCAGGCTAGCTCTTCTAGCTGTTCCACATTGAATGCAGAATCAACCAGTTGTAGTTGGGAGACAGTGTGTCAATAAAGAGCCAAGTGAAGCAGAAAGGCAGGACACACACAGTGTATGTCTGCTGGGCTCAGCACTGCCTCCTGTCTATAAAAGCAGGGCATCTTGGTAGGGCAATAAGCCCGCTTGACCCCTTGCCTTAAATGAGTGACGTAAGCTATGCTCCCTGTATAAATGAAAAAGCCTCCCCTCCCAAGATTCTGCAATATTCTCAGTTAAGAAGAACAGGAATACATGAAAATTAATTCCTGATTTTTCTTTTGATAACAGAAACCAAAATCTGAATAAGCTAGTAGTACTGTCGGATTGCCATGTGATTAGCTTCAGAGGTTGATACTACAAATCACAAATAGAATAATAGTTTTGTTTATAACATGATGTATGTATTATTTGTCCTAGGATGACTTTCTTTTTAAGGTATTTGCTGATGTTAGCAGCAAGATTGCGAGCACCAAGTAGACAATTGTAATTGAACTGTCTTCTTCTCAGAGGCATAAAAGAAAAAACCAAAGCACCAGGAGCAGAAAACAAAGGAGCACAGGCAGCTCCAATCCAGCACTCATTTCTCACAGATGTATCAGATGTTCAAGAGATGGAAAAAGGACTTCTGAGTCTTCTAAATGACTTCCATTCTGGAAAACTTCAAGCATTTGGTACGTTTTTCCTGCAAACGAATGTTTGAATTTAAATAAATATTTCTTTCACATGTGCATAGTATACACTATGGCGGATATCCACTTCCCTAAAATTAGTTGTACAAGTTGGGAAATGTCTCATTAATTTCCTCTCTCAAGGCAGATTCTGCTTCCATGGCAGAGTGAGATCTGGTCTTTATTGGTAGATTTTAGTGCTAGGATGGGACACCTGGCCCTCCAGATATTGTTGAATTGCAACTTCCATCAGTCCTAGGCAGCATAGCCAGTGGTGATGGATGCTGGGAACTGCAGTCCAAGAACATCCGGAAGCTGTAACTTGCCCATGCCTGCTCTTACTTAACGTATATCTGAAATAATTTTGCTTAATCCATTATTTGTCTTTGCCAATACGAATATCTCCATTAAGAATATGACACAGTCCTTCACCATTTCTTGTCATGGTTCCTTTCAACTTCCATCCTGCCTGCTAAATAACTTTGCATACCTGGAGAAACAGCAGCTGGGAAAGTCTGAATTATAGTGGCAAAAATGGCACATGTTTAGGAAGCACCATTGTAAGCATAAAAGCCTTTGGAAGACAGTATCTGCAGCTCTGTATTTGAATGTACTTTTTAAACACAAAAGGACATGCAAGCTACCATCTGGTTGGCTGTTAGATTGCTGTCACTTCACTGCCAGTCCCTATGTCATACAGTGTGCACTGTTGTCCTTGGGGAGGGGTATATATGTCAGAACTGGAAAGTAGGTTACATGATAGATGAAATATAGCCTTCCTTGTATCTACCATTAAACATTTTTGCTGAGTTATCTGAATCTGCATGAAACAAATGCAGACTGATTGTGTGAAGAACAGTGAGGCTACAGAAAGGGAGATTAAACTTCCTTAACACTAAAAGTAAGGGTAAGAGGTAGGTTACCTCTTTTCCTTTGCCACCTGTTTTTTTCCTTTCCTCTTTCTTCCCACACAGTGGGTGCCAGGGGACAGCTGGGTTTGCCCAAGTCTGAACTGATTGTATTGAGAAAGCTGCTGAAATTTGGCTGAGGAATATAGTAAATCAGACCTCAGGCTGCATGTGAATTTAGGGCTGCAGGTTACCCACCCCTGTTCTGTATATATCATTCATGAATATTCTGGTAAAGATCTTCAACAATCATCAGGTAATAAACATCAAAGTTAGGATCAAACTATTAATAAAGTGCTAGTTTTTTCTGGACTGTAAGAAGAAAACTGCATATATTGATGTTATCTGAGTAACAGTTCTGTTTATACAGATATATTATAAAATAAGATTTATCCTTTTATGCTTATCTGATATTTAAGTTAGTACCTCTGCATTCTGATTGCTTCAGGAAATGAATGTTCCATAGAACAAATGGAGCATGTGAGAGGAATGCAGGAGAAACTGGCTCGCTTAAACCTGGATCTTTATGGAGAATTGGAAGAACTCCCTGAAGATAAGAGAAAACTAGCTAGTGACTCCAATTTGGATAGACTTCTGTCAGATGTAAGTATAAGCAGAGAACTGTTACAATACTCAGCTATATCTGCATTTAGGCAGGCATCAGGAGTGATAAATGAAAAAAATTAAATAAGAAATGGATAATTTTTGGATTTTAAGACTAATTTTCTTAAACAATCTTTTATAACTGCCTGACTGAACAGAATTCTGAAACTGCTTGGGTGTACAGTTGTCTAACCTAACTTTGGAAAACACTATTGTTCTGAACTAGAATGCATTTGTTAGCTTGACCAGAAGATTTTTGAAAAGTACATAGAAATCCTGATTTAATCTTTCACTACTGTTAGCCTGAGTTCTGTTTTGCAATAACCTTATATTGCTATTTGTTGAATGCAAGGTTCCCATGAGTGGAATCTGTTCATGGGACAGGCCTGATGAAGAATGAGGGGATATGTTTTTGATTCCTCCTCCATGTAGCCCTGAAGAGCTGCTTGGAAGGGTAGAAACCTTCCTGAACAATGTGGGAGATAGCACAAATAAAAACTGTAGGGGAAATTCATGACAAACCCATCTCCTTTTTCCTCCAACTGGGAGTCCCACTGAATCTTAGTCACTTCTTAGGAACAAAGTCCCATTAATGGAAGGACCTCTTCCATTTGTAGAAGATATACTCTGAGCCCAACTAATTGGAAATTAATTACTGAGATAATTTATCACTACTATGCTAAGTACAACTTTCTTGTCTTCCTTACATTGCAGCTAGAAGAACTGAATTCTTCTATGTATCCTTTTTGTTAAACATGGAGTTCTTACCAAACAGGTGTTAATTTCCCAAATTGAAGCCTACAAATAACATTGGAAAATATTGTGTAATTCCCATAATGAAGCTTAGGGTTTATTTTGTGGATTTGTGAATTTTCAGTATGATAACTGTGGCTGTTGAGAAGAAACAACCACAAGAAGCTTTGGGAAGAGTGGGCTATATCTAGCTGAGGGAGCTAGCTATTAAGGTGGGTCTTAACAGAGAAATCCCTAACTCTTCATTGTTTTACAGTAACAATAAAATCTTTAAATACCTCCAGCCATAAGAAAGATGTGAATTTTGAAGATAAAAATAGAAAAAAAATACATTTTTAAAAAACTGAAAAGGTTGGTTGAGAACTGTTTATTTATTTGTTTTAAATATGAAACCTCCATATCAATACAGTACAGACCCATTTTTTCAGAAATGGAAGTGGTTTGGGTTTGTTTTTTTTTAATCACTTGATAGTGTAAGGTCCTAACCATAGTTCTAATGGTTCTAATATCTTCCGTGTTTCTTCTTTATCTCTTTCTCCATCATAAAATATTTTAAAATAGTTAAATAGTTAAAGCAAATACATTAAATTGTATATGTACAAGGATTTTTTTTTTACAACAAGCTTATACAGAAGTGTCACCATTTTCAATTTTTTCACACTCCATTTTTTCTTAGTGATTTTTTACACAATGCCACCAGGATCAGGTTCAATTTTTCCAGATGTGTTGTTGTTGTTATTATTAATCATCATCATCTGTCATAATAATTTTATTTCTGTACCACTTTATACCCAATGCTTTCATAAGTTTGAAGTGGCTTCTTGTTAATTCATTCTCATCCAGGCAGATGTATATTTCCTTGTCTTAGAAGAACTTCAGCAGTATAATTTAAGGTAGCAGCAGACATCATTTTGTTGCTGCTCCTGCTAAACAATTGGGAGTCAGAAATTTTTGCTTCTGTGCTGCAAATCATCCAGAAGTCTACCAATAGGTGCAGGTTTACCTTTTGCTCATCACTTTTTTTTCCTCCCAAAGGCCATATTGGCTGTGAGCAGGGTTTCTGGGGACTTCCCTTATGTACATGAATTGTAGGGGAGGCTGATTCTGTGGGAAGAGGGGTAGGCTAAAGCCACCACCCAGTGATCCTAACAAGCTGTGCTGCTTTTGCTCTGCCATCAGCCATGTGAAAGTAGCAGTGCCAATAAGTGGTGGGGTAGGGGTGTCATTGTGCAGCCCTGCCTGAGGACCATGTTCTCTCAGCACTGTTCAGGAATTCTGTTTTGGTATTTATTCTGAAACAACTCATCAATAACTTGATGAGAAAAACTGTGGTCCAGTGTTTAGAAATTGAGAATAGGGTTCTAGAGGTCTACATACCCATTCAGCCATGAAGCTGTGTTAAATATGTAGTTTGTCACTGCTTCTTTTTAAATATTAAAGAGTAACCATGGGGCAGTAGGAAATTTAGGATTGGGACCATAGCGTAGCTATGGGCAGGGTTATGCATCTCCCACTGTGGCCCAGGATAGATCCATTCCTTTCCTCCTCCCACTTCCTGCAGCTCCTGTTTGGCACAGGCCAGTGGCAACTTCTTCTTGGAGTTAAATTTGAGCTGTAGGGGTGGAAGGAAAGATTTATACTGATGCCATAGAAGGAGAAGAGGACCAAAAACATCTTTCTTCAATCCTGAGTAGTTTAAAAAAGAATTATGCAACCCAAACTGCATGTTTCACTCTAACATTCAAAATAAGCTGGCTCTTTCTGTCAACCTCATAGGTTGTTGAGCATGATAAGATGGGAGATGGAGAACCATGTATGCTACTCCTAAGATCCATGCAGGAAGAGTAGAATTTAAATGTTACCAATAATATGGTTGTTTTCCTTGTGCTTGAGGGCCTCACTTCTCCAGCCATTATCTCAAATCCTGTTGCTTCTGAAGTACATATAATCCCAAAAAAGCATAACATTTTTATAGCTCGCCTCCATGAAATACAATTCCTTGACTTCCTGTTGCAGACAAAAACTTCACTTAGCAGATGTTCAAGATGTTCCAAATACCAGTACAAGCTAAAAATACACCTTTTGTTTTGGAAATCCAAGGTGTCTTATTTAATTTCCAGTGGACGATCTTGCTTTTGTGGCAGAGTATTCAAATGCAAGTGAAAATACTCATGCATTTATCATAGCAGATGTAAGCACAGCAACTTTGTCAGGGTACGGTATGTCCATGTCTTGCTGCTATGCTTTGTATTATTGCCTTATTCACTATGAAGTGTTGAAACAACTTGAAAGTGTGATTTTATAATATAACATGCTCAGCTTTGATTAAGCAGTAACAGAGTGTGGTATGTACTTGCTGCCTTTCTCACAATTTAGACAATCAGCACATGAGTAGGTTGTTTTATTGGCCTGTCATGGTATTAAATGAGTGTTTAATTTATTTTAGCAATAAAAATGTTTTAAAGATTACTAGTATTTCTGTGGAAACAATTCATTTGGCCTCCACTGAGTTTCTTAAGTGCGGCTTGTATCTTCACATTGGTTAGTGTACATTAGTTTGCACTGTACATTTTACTTTAATGTATACCTGGGAACCTTTGAGATACTATCAAATGGTGTCATTGCACAAGCTTCCTCACATGCTAATTCCATTGTGCAAGAATATAATGCATCCTATAAGAGGCCTGAAACAAGTCAAAATGCTCATTTCTAGATCAGGACTGGTCAGCAGATTTTACTTATGTGAGCTCTGCTGATTAGCCCTGTTCCAGAAATGTTTCAGCTTTTTTCTGGGTACTTCCAGAATCACTAAATCTCCACTGTACAAGCGCTATGTCTTACTGCCAAACAGAATAAATAGCTGTGTTCTATAAACTGCGACGCGCATATAGGTTTCTCAAGAGACAAATAAGATGGTCAGGTACTCCCATCTGTTTAAGAACTTGCCACAATTTGTTGTGATCCACACAATCAAAGGCTTTAGCATAGTCAATGAAGCAGAAGTAGATGTTTTTCTGGAATTCCCTAGCTTTTTCCATGATCCAACATATGAAGCAACAGTGAGAACTGGGTACAGAACCACTGATTGGTTCAAAATTGAGAAAGGAGTTTGGCAAGGCTGTATACTGCCGCCTGCCTATTTAACTTATATGCAGAGCACTTCATGAGAAAGGTGGGGCTGGATGAATCACCAGTTGGAATTAAGATTGCTGGAAGAAATATCAACAACCTCAAATATGCAGATGATACCACTCTCATGGCAGAAAGTGAAGAGGAACTAAAGAGACTCTTGATGTGGGTGAAGGAGGAGAGCACAAAAGTTGGCTTGAAACTCAACATTAAGAAAACTAAGATCATGGCATCCGGCCTTCTCGCTTCCTGGCAAATAGATGGAGAAGAAATAGAGGTAGTGACAGATTTTATTTTCCTGGACTCCAAGATCACCGCAGATGGGGACTGCAGCCAAGAAATTAAAAGACGCTTGCTCCTGGGGAGGAAAGCTATGGCAAATCTAAAAAGCAGAGACATCACCCTGCCAACAAAAGTGCGTATAGTCAAGGCTATGGTTTTCCCAGTTGCAATGTATGACTGTGAAAGCTGAACCATAAGGAAGGCTGAGCGCCAAAGGATTGAGGCCTTTGAATTATGGTGCTGGCAGAGACTCCTGCGAGTCCCTTGGACCGCAAGGCGATCAAACCGTTCAGTCCTAGAGGAGATCAACCCAGACTGCTCTTTAGAAGGCCAGATCCTGAAGATAAAACTCAAATACTTTGGCCACCTAATGAGAAGGAAGGACTCCCTGGAGAAGAGCCTAATGCTGGGAACAATAGATGGCAAAAGAAGAAGGGGACGGCAGAGGATGAGGTGGCTGCATGGAGTCATGAAGCAATCGGCGTGAGCTTAGGTGGACTCCGGGGGATGGTGGACAGGAAGGCCTGGAGGAATGTTGTCCATGGGGTCGCGATGGGTCGGACACGACTTCGCGACAAACAACAACAACATAAACTGTGAAGTCATAACTTATTGAAAACTGATTTCTATTTATGCACACTTATAACAGTTTAAACATTTTCAAGCTTTAGACTCTTTCATATTTAAAATATGGAAGTGTAAACATGTACTACATGGAGTCCCCACTTTCAGTCATTAGCATCCAGTTAGTCTTGCATATGTGTGATGGCTGGTTATTTTTCAGACTCTTGACAAAATGGATGGTGAAAACCAGTTGCTCTTGTGTCAGAGAGCCATTGACTTCAAATAAAGGTCATTATCATCACAATTTAATATACAGAATAACGACAGTCCTTAAAGCTGTATTTTCCAGATCTGCTACTGACAAGGCTTATTTTCTTCATGCTTGGTTTTCACCCTTTGAATCTGGATGTCAACTGGGATCCTCAGTCTGAGACTATTATTTTGAAGATTACTACTTCATAAAAGTTGATCTTCCTTACAACTGAGTTATCCTAAAAATATAAAAGGCCTTTTGAACAAAGTTGCGTTGAATGTTAGGGTCTGTGTGTGTTTTGAAACAAACTTGATGTCTCCTACAGAAGGTCATTCTGTCAGGGCAGCAACTTGCAATTTAAGTGTAGAGGATTATGCTTGAGGTAGACATGGAGTACTTCAAAGAATTTACGAAATGGGATGATTAAAAATAGGAATTTAAGACAAAGTCACTGTGTTGAAGACAGATACTGTCTTGGCAATCCTTACAACAGAGTAGGTATGCAAAAGGCTGCCCAGACAGTCAGGGTACCCTGATGAATGGGGTAGGCTGTGGTGTGCAGGGCTGAGAAAAGAATGCAACTTAGTTGCCTCAACTACTCAGTGGACTGATTAGATTGTCACACTAAAATCTAATAATTATGTATCAGATTTTGTCTATATTATTTCAGACAATAGTGACAAAAATAATCATAGTTATTTTGATTGAAATCTATTTGAATGATTTCTCCATGGCTTTACTGTAGCAGCACCTCATGTTACAAACTATCAGGGATGTGGAACTTGTGTAATAGCACTGTATCTTCATGGAAGTGTCCACTGCTGGAGTGTACACAATCTGTATTGCTGAGGTTTCCCTGAGAGGTACAATGCAACATGATGTGAAAAAAAGCTAAAGGGAAGCAGTTTGCCATACCTACATGGTAATATATTAACAGCTCCAAAATCTGATTTCAGTGGCCTAAACTGCTCTTAAGGGCCTTTCTCATTCATCATGATCATCATCATCATCTATGGCTGTGAAGTGTCACACAGCTTGCTATCAAAAAGTAACACTGCACTTAAAGGGGAGCTTATGACACCTTTGCTATACCTTCTCAAGGTGAGGACATAGCTCTCCCATCACCATCCAAGGAAGGGCTCCCTCAGGCACACATGAGACTGCAGAGACAGATGCTGGCCCCTAAGAACTACAGCCAGCATCCAGCAAAATTGGAGGCACTGGTCAGCCAGGCACTGCCAGCCTTAAAAGCATGACTTGACTGCTTGTCTTTGCTGAGACAACAGCTCTTTGAAGGTCAATACTCCAGCTAGGACCTCTTTCAGTGTATCATCTGAGGTCCAGATTGCTCTTCCCTTGCCTGTCATACTGCCCCAACTCCCATTTACCTGGCATGACTCCACTTCAGCAGTCATAACTGACATGATCCCAAACAACCTGTGTGCCCCCAGGCATTGTTTCCTGACAGCATCATGCCAGAAATAGGTGGAGTTCTGCCTACAGCATGGAGCTTTCCCCTTTGCCCCTTCCATCCCTCAATATGCCAATCCTGAGGGTCATGAATTTCCAAAATGACTCACAATCCAACATCAGCATTAGCAGTGTGTGTAGTTCTGCTTATACAAGTTGAGGTAGGGGAGTGTCTGATTTGCATTTAAGTGATTTCCACTTAAGGAACTGTTTGGATAGTGTTAGAGGATCCTGCAGGTGCCTGCTTTTATTTCTTACTGAGAGTGGATATTCATTAGTACAAGAATGATGGCCCAGCATTTCGGGGCAGCACATTTATGCCCTTAGTCGTGTTCTCTTGTGTTGACATATTACTTATCTGGATAAAGTTACTGTAAGAGTTGCTGCCTTTTTTCCCCAAGCAGAGTGTACATATCTTCACCAGCTGTGCTAGAGGCAGAAATTAATAGGTGAAACTTTTATAGTGCTGATCTCTATTCAAGGACAAGCTTCACCTGCTGCTGTGTGTTTGTGAAAGGCACAGAAGTCCAGCCAGATGAAAAAAGGTAGCAATCTGAAGAAAAGCACAACCGTGCAAGTTCAATGTCACTCAGATTAAAGGAACTACTCAAAGCAGATTCAGAATTAGTCCCCAGTGATAAGAGAATCTTTTCCTCTGGTCCTGCCTCTGCTAGTCTTGGCTGCAAGCCCAGAGTGCATTATGTTGTGCACTGTGGTTCCTATGGAGATGTAAGGAAGCACTGACCTTCAGCCAATCCTACAGCAGTTCTGGCTTTCACATAGCAGATCTTTGGGTGCCTTCTTCGCAGGGAAAGAGCCTTTGTCGCTTGAGGTAGATTACCAATCTTCTGAATACCTATTTTGTTCAATGGGTGAGGGTAAGTAAAATATTAGCTTGCCTTGTTTTGGTGTACTTGAGCAATTTCAGAAGTTGATATTCTCTTGCTCTTTAGATCCAGTTGACTGAAGACATGGTAGGCTCTAGATAACCCATGTTAAACAAAAACCCATGTTAGTATAATCATTCTAGATTAAAGCACAAAGGCTTAATTTGTAATGTTTGAGGTTAATTGTGGGAAATTGTTCAAACTCATATTTCAGTTACAATCCCTTCAACAATATTCGGTTACCTACAAAATAGAGGAATAAGAACTGTTTTAATTAAGGCTTTTTAAATAAATTGTATTTTAAAGTCAATCTAATAACAGCAGAAATTGAAAATAAAATAGAAAAGTTAGCAAAAGGAAGGCTGGGGCTCTTTTACTCCAGCAACTGCTCCTAAGGGGCTTCCATCCTTCCATCCTTCCTCCTTTTTCTGATCAATCTACTGAAACATAGTAAGTCACAAAATCATTTGGTGCAACAGAGCTTTTAGAAGAGAATCTTTCTAATGAATATTGCAAAAGCTACAATGATTTTTTCCTATAGCTGTGGACTAAGCTACTGTTAACCCCCTGGATTCTATAACTTACAGGAAATCCATGTAAGTGAAAATGTAAGAAGTGGAATGAGAATAAGCTCAGAGTAAATAAGCTGGTCATTTTGAAATGTAAAGATAATCGTGGCAATGTCTTTTCAGTATTTTAAGCAGATAGCACTACTGTGACTTCCAAGAAAGAGCAACTGTGAGCTCTAATATTAATTTTAATGATGTTGAACTCTCACACATCGTTTTGCCTCAGTATCTTATCCTTCTGTTAAGGTAATACAAATTGACCAAACTTTTAACCAACCTTACCAAACTGAAGATTTTGTGACCTTGCAGTAATTGAAAATGAAAGATGACAGAAGAGAGAGTGCAATGTAGAGGACCATAGGAAATATAAAGCCAGTGTGGCATAGCTGTTAGGATTTTCAGAAAGATCCAGGCTCTAGACGAGTGGTTCCCAAAGTGGGGGATACCATCCCTTGGGGGTAATAGAAAGATCCAGGGGGGCAGTGACTGGTTTCTTTAAATTTGCAGTAGAGCAATAGACCTAATACAAAGGAATAGGCATGGGAGTGCTAGGGTTGTCCCCCAGGAGGAAGGGGCACCTGCCCCCAAAATTGCTCTAGACCATATTTGACAAAGAAGCTCATTGGATGACTTTTATCTATTAGCCTAGCCTAATGCACAGGGATGTTATCAGGATAAAATGGAGAGTAGGAAGATTGTGTAAACCAGCTTGGGCCCCTTGGAGGAGGTAAGCATAACAGGCTGCAAAATAAAAGTAAAACATACTTGCCACAGGGGCTATCCATAAAGTTTGTCAGACTTTTAGAAAGCTTTAATATGCAATCTTTGAAATGCATCCATCAGTTCCAAGCCTAATCTCCCACCATAGTCCTTTTATGGTTGGGCTGGGCTTAGCCCTGGGTCTAGCTAGGGGCAAATCTGCAAAGTTAGCAGGCTAAAGTTCAAAGCATAGTATTAACCAGAACCAGAGAAAGTGGTAGCCTGGAAGGAAGACCTTATCGGGATTATACAGCACAAAAGAATGATCCAGGAGTAGCTGAAGTAATGTTTCAGAATGCCAGGTGTTGAAATAAGATGGTGTTCCAGCAAGTAGCAACTCTCAACTAAGAGACACTAAGTTGGAGTTTCCTGAGTCCCACCCAGGCTTCATCTGTAACGTATCAGAAAGGCCTCATGAGGAGGCCTTTACTCTTGAGACTTTTAAGAAGCATGCACACTTTATTTTGGCCCCTGAGCTAGCTTAAATATTTGGGAACTGGGATTTTCAGGGATAGGTGATAGCCCTTCAGCCTCAAAGCTGAATGTTACACCTTTCCAAGGAAGCAGATCTTGAATTGCCCATGACTGTCTAGGGCACTTCTGGGTTCCACTGAAGTGGCCTGTTTCCATAGGACAGCTAGTTCTGAAGGTTCAGAACTAGTTTTAGGTGAGGGGCAAGATGATCTGCCGTGTAGCCCTCTGTGGGCCATATGACATCAGAGGATGTATTCAGGCCTACCTGACATTTGCTCACTGGCCCAAGTGCTGAGTGGATCTTCCACCCACTGCTTGGCTCAGGGAATATTCTTTCAGTTAGAACCAGCTGGGACCCCATCACTCTTCCAGTTTGGGAGCAGTGGGAACTTGGTTGGCTTTGCCTGCCTTTCCTCTTTCCCATAATGGGAGAAGTAAGAGGGATGAGGAAAGCAGACGAGGACTTTCCCCTGCAGGTATAAGTGCTCTCCACAGGGCAGAGGAGTCCCAGTGCCTCCCATCTGAGATTGGAGATAACAACGGAGCTCCAGCCGGGGAAATCTTGCTGTGATCCCCAATCTCGGATCAGTGACTGTAGTGGAAGATTGCTGTTCAAGGGGATAGTAGAGTGGAAACTGGAGACTAAGCATCTCCCCTTGGAGGAACCTCAAAGGGCTGCACATCCTAGCTTGGGGTGCTCATGGACCAGGGGTCCTGCATTCCTCGTTTATGATCTTCCTCTGATGAAGTATCCCTACCAGGGAGCCCTGACTTTTACAGCTACTGACACATGACATCATTGTGGCAATTCAATTACATGAGAATGTAACTTACAGGGTTTTCATTCTTATGTCCTTCCCGTGTGTGTTTTTGAGTGAGCGTGTGTGTTAGAGAGAGAGAGAGAGAGAGAGAGAGAATTGACAATAAAGGTAAGAAAGTAGAAGGATCTTGAAAAAATTAAACAGTCCATGCTTTCTAGGCTTTAGGGCTTCTGTGATTGGAATGCAAAGTCAAATCAAGTTCTGAACCTTAAATTTGCTCTCTAGGAAGAATGCTTTACTTCTGTTTTCAGGAAGTTTCCAACAGCAGTCTATCTGAACTTTACAATAGAAATATTAGCAAGGAAACTGTGAAACCAGCTCTACAATGACCACACCTTATACCACATGTACACCACACAGTGTTAAACAGTGGCACTTGGAAAGCTTAGGGCTCCTTGCAGAAGACACAAAGAGCCCAATTCAGAACCAAAAAATGGAAATACTGAATACACGCTTTAGTACTTGGACACCGATTGAAAACCATTCTCTTAATAATCAGGTAAGTTGAAGTCTATTGAATCTACACAAGCAATGAGTTTAAATCACTGTGCTTTTATTATTCATCTTAATTACTCCTTTCATAACTTACATGGCTACCCCAAATGTATATTGATTCATACTGCTATAATTTAAACAGGAAATAATTACATGTTTCCCAGTAAAATGAACCATGCACATCAGTGTCATTACAACACAGGTGTACATGGCAGCTACTGCTTTCAACAGTTGGTGTAACAAGGAGTTCTGACCACCAACCTTGCTGCTACTGCTTTGCTTCAGGTCAAAATTACATCTGCCTTTCTCCCAAACAACTGCAAGGAATTAGTGTGTGTATGCAATAAAGCACTGCTGCAGGTTGGGGTAGACATATTTGGGGTAGGCATATTTGACCTGTGGTATCTATAGAGTAGCACATATATGTTTGCTATCATTGGTCTTGAGAACATCTGAGAATAAGTGTAGCCTCACAATATGATGCAATATATGTTACTGTATTGCAATTTGGCATTCCTGTATCAACTTTTCTTATTGCAAAATGGGTTTTAATGGAACTCTATATTTTGACTTGGAAATATTGAGGAACCTTTTTTATTCTGAATTTTAATTGCATAATTCCTTCACTTTAAATAAGCAAAAAAACTGGGAAAAGGTATGTAGGAGAGAAGCAACTGAAAACTTTTATTAGACATTTTGAGTGGCCTGTTTTATTCCTTGGTTGAAATTTCAGGTTCATACAAGCAAGGAAGGGAAAAAAATCATCATTATCATCATTGTTGTTGTGTATTTTATTTTTACACTGCACAATAGCCAAAGCTCTTTGGGCAGTTTATGGTGGCTTCTTTTCCCTGTTCTGGCATGTTGGTTGCATGCTGCCTCATTTTCAGAATAACCCATGCCAAGTGCAAGTTTTAAACCACCCTGCAACCCATAACTCGTTCTAGGGTTGTTTAAAATCTATTCATGACAACCCTCCTCACATGTTCAAAAAACATGGTAACCCATGCTCTGTGACCAGTACATGCAGGCTTCTGATTGTATGAGTCATGTTGCTGCCAATACAGTTTGAATTCTGGAAGAGACAGCATCAAGCTTCAAAACAGACAAACAGAAGTGAGTTCATGTGCAGTGAAGATGATGTAACTGCTATCTTGATTATACTTTCCCATCTGCTCCACTACACAAATTTTTTCAACTTTTTTCCTTTCATTGACTGAGAAAAAGAAATTCCAGTTGTGATTGCTCCTGGTTATTTTTTCCAAACCAGCCCCAAGTCCTCCTATACAAAATCATCCCCTAATAGACTTAACCACTGGTGAATGGAAAAGGAATTGGAAATACATTCGTTCATAGCAGAAGTAAAATTCAGAACTACACACATATGCCTGTGTCAGAGCTGTAGAACTTCTGACCAAGAGGATACTCTGCTTTCTATCAGTTAGAAAACACAAAACAGCTGCACTCAAAGGATGCAAGTTCAACATCGCTTTCAGTTACAATAGTATGTTCTCACAATGCTTAATGAACACGTGTGTGTATAGGTCTTGCATTCATACCCAGGTAAACCTGCTTTTTCTCCTTTTGCTGGCAGTTTTAAGTACAGTGTCACAAGAAAGGTGTTCAATATCCCTAACATGAGGGGTTAATCATTCTCTCAGAAATGAGGTTGGCTGCTGTTTGAATTTGAGACAGTGGAAACAGTAATGCAGAGGGGACTTGATAGCAATGCTTTCCTGCAATAGGAGACAAACTTCCTGGAGATTCCCAGAGAAAGGGAAATGTACAAAAGATGACTTTATATGGAGTTGTCAGTGATGAGTGTCTAGGAAAGGTTGCATATTTCGTAAAACAGGCTGACTAGAGGAGGCAAAAGATTCACACAAATGGGAGAAGATTTAAGAACAAAGGGGATCTTGCAAATGATAATAAAAACGTGACAAGTCAACAAGTGAGGTTTTTCTGTGCAACCGAGTATGATTGTCTTCTTTGAAGAGGTGGCCATGACAGCCTGTTGTGGGGAGAAAAAAGCAGAAATCTTGTTGGTACTTTGGAAATTTATATGGCATAAGATCTTGAGGACTAGTGCCCTCTGTCAGTAAATGAAGCATAACCTTCAATTGGCAGATACATACAGAAAAAGTAGAAAGGCAAAAATTACCAATAAAGACATTACATTCAAGAGAGTACTTTAAATGGCCTGCATTACAAGGAACACTGGCAAATCATGGAAAGGCCTACTTAATTGTGTGTTACTGAACAGTCCTTCCACTGTGGCTTTGTTTAGCTCTTTCAGGAAAGAGTCAGGCTTATAAGCCATTGGTTTGATCTGTGGACAGACAAGCAGCGCAAGCAATTTCTCCACTGGATACTGACTAAGTGCAATAAGTCACAGTTGAGGTAAGTGAGTCAGAAGTTCTTTTTCAGGTGGTGTTTTGTGAAAAGAGTTCCACAAGGACATCTGTCAAATGGATCTTCTACCTGAGCCAATCTTGCACCTTTGCTCAGTGTAACACTGACATGAGATGTGTTCGCAGCAAGTAAAACATTTGCTTATCCAGATCCAAATTCAGGGGTTAAGGCCACTTTATGTTCCTGTTAGATATGTGTTTAAATTAAGTCCTAAATATATCAACAGTAATTGTTGTTGTTGTTAGTCACGAAGTCGTGTCCGACCCATCGCGACCCCATGGACAACATTCCTCCAGCCCTTCCTGTTCTCCACCATCCCCCGGAGTCCACTCAAGCTCACACCAACTGCCTTAGTGACTCCATCCAGCCACCTCATCCTCTGCCATCCCCTTCTTTTGCCCTCAATTGTTCCCAGCATTAGGCTCTTCTCCAGGGAGTCCTTCCTTCTCATTAGGTGGCCAAAGTATTTGAGTTTCATCTTCAGGATCTGGCCTTCTAAAGAGCAGTCTGGGTTGATCTCCTCTAGGACTGACTGGTTTGATCGCCTTACGGTCCAAGGGACTCGCAGGAGTCTCCTTCAGCACCACAATTCAAAGGCCTCAATTCTTTGGCGCTCAGCCTTCCTTATGGTCCAACTTTCACAGTCATATATTGCAAATCAACAGTAATACAATCTGTCAAATGCAGCCTGATAAAGAGAACACCTTTTGTAAAATAGCCAGGAGAATTGGCTTAGAACATAGTAGAATATTCTAAAACAATGTAAAGTATGGATATATTTTGGCTACTATCTTGGTTACTAACTGCCCCACTTTTGGATGTGTTGGATTACAATGCCCATTATCTCCAGCCAACCTATCCATTTGGGTGTAATGTCTGGGGATGGCAGCAGTTGCAGCAAAAGCTGCCAGACTGAAGACGTCTACCTGAGAGAATTTAGTTCTCTCATATGGCCCAATGGTATCTGTAAATTAAAGCAAGCCTTTGGGTTGTGTACAATTCTATGTGATAGAAAGTCAGTATCTTAAACAGAGAACTGATCAGCAGAAATTGGGCATACACAGTAGTAATGGTACAGTTTGATTTTGGATCTTGTCATGTACCTTTGAGTTTTTTTCAGCTCTGAGCATATAAAGAAATTGCTCTGAGTTTCCCAAAGGAAGAGTTGGAACATACAAAATGTTACTATAGTTTGTAGTTGGCTGCTGTGAAGCACAGAGTCTAGGTTCAGACATAAAAATCATGGTTTGTTTTCATGTCTGAACTGTAGTTTGAACACAAGCTGTATGTTCTCTAGAGAAAACAGAACAAGATCTGTAACCACAGAGTAAGCACAGGAAAATGAGTGCTGAGTAGATGAAAAGCGAAAGCAGGCAAGAAGCACAACATCATGGTTTGCCTGTTCTGTTTTGAAACTCAAACCATGGTGGGGCCTATGATTCACAGAAACAAAGGTTTCATCTAAAGTCTGACTCTGAATTCAGCCAATGTCACAGTCATATTCTTCTGGGCCTCCTGAGAATCATCTTTCTGGATCCTTCATTAGAACTTGAAAGGGAGTAGTCAAAATCCCAAAAAGGTCACAACCACCCATTAAGGATCATCCTGTTTCTTCTCTCTGTTTTGCAGATTTGCTGAGAAATGGTTTGTAGAAAATACCCCACTGACCAAAGTGGACTTCACCACCTTGCTACCCCGTTTCATATCACTGTATATATTCTCTTTTCTCAACCCAAAGGATCTCTGTGCAGCAGCTCAAGTCAACTGGCACTGGAAGTTTTTAACTGAACAAGTAAGATCATATTGCATAAGATCTACATTGGAGCAATACTATTTTTTGAAAGTCTAACAAGAAAGTGTCTGGATCTTTCACTTGGTATATCTTAACCTGGCCCCATCAATTAGCTACTGAAGGTCCAGTTACTCCAGTGCTTGATTTTCTCTTCCCTCCCCATTCCCCTTCCTATTTCTGTCTCTTTTGTATTGTTTCTATTAGATTGTGAGTCCACTGGTAAGAATGGTCTTACTTTGATCATTCAAAGTAAGCATAGCACTTATAAAAGATTGGTTGAATTATATGTGATCATAAAAACAATGGGTTAGAACTCACTGTTCTGCCAGTAAAAGCTGGGATACAACCCTGGCTTTCCAAGTCATGAGTGTGCTTGGCTTGCTTAAACTTGAATTGATGGTGGTTGCATGTAACTTTGAACCCAGTTTAACGGAAGCAACAGGAATTGGTGAACATGATCCCCTGGCCTGATCTTCTCCACTAACCCCTTGTTTTATTAGAACTAGGGCAGGTTATGATGCTTCATTAAAGAATGATGCTGTACATTGCTATTCTTTAATGTTTAGATAACAGCTTCCAATTATTATTTATTAGATTTATATCTCACCCTTTTTCTTTTAAAAAAACTCAAAGTGGCGTACATCATTCTCCTCTTCCTGCTCTCTGTTTTTCTCCACAACAACGACCTGACCTTGTGAGATCTGTGACTGGCCCGAAGGCTCAGACTTGGCTCATGGCTGACTAGGACTAGAACCCAGATCACCTGAGCACTAGTCCAATGCTCTTAACTACTACATCACACTGGCTCGCCTATTGAAACATAGAAAAGCCATGCTGGAGCCAACTAAAGAGCCATCTAATCCAGCATTCTGGATGGTGGCACAGTAGCAGCCAGCTGCTTACAGGACGGGTACAAGACCTCCACCTGCCCAAGCTCCTCATCAACTTGCGTATGCAAACATTCTGTTTTCTACTTCACCAGTAGGAGAAAACACATAGCCAGTAATGCTAGAAGCTACAAATAGTCTTCACTTCCAAATAAACCTTTGTTTTTTCTTTTCTTACTAAAGGACTGTGTGTGGATGCCAAAATGCATTAAGTTAGGATGGTTTCTTCCCTATACACCCGAAAAAAATGAATATAGTGCTTGGAAGCAATATTATATTGCCTGTGCAATGAACTTGGATTGCTTAGCTCCCAGGAAAGCTGTTGAGTGTTATGAGACGCTCAATGATCCTAAAATGGAAAATGAAGATCAAGAAGAAAGAATACGTGCAAAATATCTACGAAAAATTATTCGAGAAAAACTGGTTCTACAGAAGAGTAAGTTGGATGAAACTGATATGATTTAATTATCAGAAAAGGAAAGTCTCATTCTATTACTGTAAGTGCAGATTAACCTACCTAGGAATAAATATAATTGAATGGGGATTATTTCCAAGCAGACAAGTACAGGTCTGCATTATAAATGTATCCCAAAAGAGTCAAATGTGTTCTTTTCCTGAACTGAAATAAATTACAGACACACATACATATATGATGATGGTAATAACTGCTACCACTTCACAAAAAACAGAAGAGATTATGTTTTCTTTTCTTCAGTTTTCACAGCAGAGGATGAAGAGCAGATACCTTTTCCTGAACTCATGTATTCTAGAAGGCAGTCTGAGAAATCAAGACAGATAGTAGTGCGGGGGGGGGGGGGATGAAATTCTCAGGCTTATTGTCAATCTGAAAGTCAGCAAATCACCATATCAGATAGTATTCGTCCTAGAGTTTTCAAAGAACTCAAACATGAAATTGCTGACCACCTTACTAAAATATTTAACATGTCCCTAAAATCAGGCCTTGCACCAGAGGCTTAGAGAATGATCAATGTAACACCCATTTTTAAAAAGGTATCCGGGGGGACCTGGTAAATTACAAGCTGTGTGAAAACACTACTTCACACAGGATATTGTTAAACTATGGAATTAGCTGCCAGAAGAAGTGGTGGTGGCTGCCAGTCTGGATGGCTTTAAAAAGGGATTGGACAGATTCATGAGGGAGGAGGTGTGACATCTGTTCTGGGTAAACTGCTTGAAAACATTAATAAATATAAAATCAGTAAGCACAGAGGGACAAGCCCTGCTGGAAAAAAAGTCAGCCTGGCATTTGCAAGAGGTCTTCTCTCACTAACCTGTTTAAGTTCCTTGAGTCAATAAGCATGTACACAGAGGCAATCCAGTAGACACCGTTTACTTGGACTTCCAAAAGGCTTTTGACAAAGACCCTCACGGAAGGCTCCTGAGCAAATCAAACAGTCGTGGAATAAAAGGGGAGTCCTCTTGTGGTTCACTAATTGGCTAAAAAACAGAAGACAGAGGGTAGGAATAAATGACAACTTCTCCCAGTGCAGAGATGTCGCCAGTAGAGTCCCACGGGGTTCTGTTTTGGGGCCAATGCTTTTCAACCTACAGTGGTACCTCGGCTCCTGAACACCTCAGTTCATGACCAAATTGGGTCATGAACAGAAATTTCATAAAAATTTTGCCCCAGGTCGCAAACTCTGCATCAGGTGATGATCGCAAGCATGCCCCCCTTCCCTGCACCAGCCTGATCATGGGGGGCAGGGGAGATGGCCACATTCATGCTGGGGGGGGGAGAAGGCCGCAATTGCACATGTGTTTCCTGCCCAAGCATGCTCACCTCCCCCCCAGCACGCCCGCCCCTGCCTCCGTCCCCCGCGTGCCCACCTCTCCCTCAACACGCCCCCAATCACACCCATCTCCCCCCCCGCACAATCGCTGGGGGGGGGAGGAAATGGCTGTGATCTTTGTTGTTCTTTGTCACTTTGCTTCAAATTTTTGTGAGTAAAAAAAAAAAAGTTAATAAATAAGGATTAACCTTATTTACATTGACCCTTATGGGGAAATGTGACTTGGCTCACAACCAATTTGGGTCACGAACAGGAACAGATTAAGTTCATGAGCCAAGGTACCACTGTATTCATAGATGAGATGAAATTAGGAGTGAAGTGGCTAAGTATGCTGATGACGCTAAACTATTTAAGGTGGTTAAAAGTTGAGAGGTATCCTGAGAGAGATTTATGTGCCTCCTGAACGTCCTGGGTTAAACAGCATCATCTCATGGTGCTTATTTTTCAGAAGAATTGCTGAAGGCTCGTCCACCCTGGATAAGTGGAACACAAAACTCAGGATTTAACAAATCTGGATTTCAGCCAAATCTGTCCCATACAGTCCGTGACAAAGCTAAATTGCCAGAAAGGTTGTTGCTAATGAAGGTATTTTTCCCATATCATATTACTGATTCTCATAGTTGACTTCTGTGTGCATGCAGAACTTAATCTGAGTCTAGTCCCTGTCTAAGAAACTAATTTTAAAAAAGTGGCTTTAGTGCTTAAATATAGGAAGGGTGCACCTGAGCAGGGCTGTTGTGAGACACCAGAGTTTCCAGGCCTATTCTTATTTTATATATTTACTATGCTTTAGCATGGAAATCCACTGCCACCTTTCAACCTTTCCGCTTCTCCTCCTTGTTGCTGAAACCACCCTATCTGCCTGATTCTTTGGTGTCTTTCTTATTTATAATAATTAAGTTTTATAAAATAATGAGTGGTATGAAGAAAGTCAAGAGAAATTGTTTCTTCATTTCTCATAGCGCGTGCGCGCGCGCGCGCACACGCACACACACACACACACAAACACTGCTTTGGTGATGCATTTAAGAAGGACAGAAGGGACCTTCACACAACATAGAGGATGTCTATCTCGTAAGCAAGGCGTGCACAGCTATTCTGTCCCTGAGGGCCACATGCAGTGCTGGCTGGGGGTTCTGCACATACACATCCACCCATGACTTTGACACACATACACACACTTTCATTCCCTCCTCCCCCATAAGATAGCGAGAGATGGATTGTGGAGGAAAAGATCAGCTCTCTTCCACCATTGTCCAGATTGTCTTTCTATGGGCAGAGAAGAGGGTAGCCTCCTCTTCCCTGCACAGAGACAGGAGTTGGATCTTGGTCATGAAGTGAGAGATCAACTCCCTTACCCTGATGTTCAGATCTGCTCTTCCAGCAATCCTGGAATGGCTTTTCTTTCACTGCTAGCTATGGCAGGAAAAGGACCATCTGTATTACCAGCAGTTGGAGAGAACAGAATTCAGTAGCAGTAGAGTCAGCAGGTAGGTAAGGGCCCCTAATTAAGATAACATACAGAGGTGGAGAAGCTATATGTTTTGAACCCTTCTTAATGTGCTAAACATTCTATGAGTGTGGAACCCCATGTAGCCAGAATGATACCAACTATACACACAAAAAGTAGGCATCAGGAAGTCAGGGGAAACTTCATGGCTTGCAAAAGTGTAATAAAAACAATATTACTGGGGGGAAGCTACAACTGGGAACCTGCTCTTAAGAAAAACCTCAATGCAATCTCCTCTGGTCCTGGTATCAACCTTGTCTACTTCCTGGAAGAGATACTTTTTTTAATAAAGATTTTTATTAAGATTTTAAACTAAAAAACATCAATCATCAAATACATTGGACGTACTGGGTCAGCCCCCTATAACATATCTTTTTAACATTCTGTAATCATATTGAAATGGATTTATAAAAATTTAAAAACATTTTTAAATCTAAGCCAAGTCCCGTTTCTCCAGCCAATCATAAAAAAGATCCCAAGTTTGATAGAAGTCAGTATCTTCTTTCTCCTTCAGTAATAGAGTCAATCTGTCCATTTCTGCACAGTCCAGAATCTTTTTTAAAATCAGTTCCTCTGTGGGCAGTTCCTCACTCTTTCCTGGAAGAAATTCTGTTAGCATTAGTACCTAGAGAGCAAGACCTTTGGTTCCGTGTTCAGTGGAGTGCACTTTGGCCTTGTTCCCTTGCCTGAGTGGGGAGTTGTCTGCAGACTGTCCAGTAAGTTCTCATTGTCGGCTTTGAGATGGAATCTAGGAGTTTTCTCATTGTTAAGACAGCTCAACAGTTTACTATTCAATGGGTTTCTAAGTAAAGGCACTAGGCCATGAGATGACCTCAGTCAGGGTATTCACAGTGTAATGCCAGCATCCAGGTGGCTTGGCCTTGAGCTTTAGCAGAAGCCTGCAACTAATTATGACAGGAAAATGTATTTCTATTATACCTGGGTAAGATGGAGTCAGTATGTTTTGGCTGAGCCGGCTCTTCTAGGCTGAAGTACCAAAGGTACGCATTCACCATCTTCTAGGGCCATGCCTCCACTCAGACATCTCACTCATCTTTTTTTTCCCTAAAAGCTTCAGAAAAGAATGATTTCACCAAAAGATATGCTTTCAAAACAGATTTCTGAAGATGTTCCATCTGCATCAAGCTTCAGTCTGGAAGCCCAGATACCATTGACCTCTTTAAAATCTTTTCCAAAAAGGTAAGCAGTACCTTGTGGGAGGCAGTAGAAGCCTGCAGGACCAATGAGGATCCTTACCCCTGAATTTTCCCTCTGCGAAGGATGCTGGGATGAGGCTTGCACATGCAGAAAACAGCTTTTGATGAATTTCTTGGCTGACTAGGGGGTCCAAGCTTGTTTGCCCAAAGGGAAACAGGTTATCATCTGGGTTGAGGGTTGCAATGAAGGAATCAGAGTGGGATCCTTTGCAATCAGGAATCCCTGTTTGCTCTGTTCTACTCCTGAGCAAGAACAAGTTCCTACAACAGCCTTGGGGCAGAAGCAGTGCAAGTGCACCTCATGCTCCTCTGCAGCCTGAATCCATTACAGAGACCTGGCAGGGAGGCCCTTCGCTTCATCCTGGGATGCAGCCTCCTCAGGGGACATGTCCTCTTTGATTCTACAAAGTGTGCAGGACAGCAGGCTCCAAAGAGCCTTGCCTTACCTACACTGAGACTTGGCTTTGGGTTCTCTATGATTGTTGAGTGAGGAACTGAGATGGGGAAATCCTCTTCATTCCTCCTCTCCTCTTTCCTTCCCTCCTTTTTATAGGTGCCAATTTGGTCCTGCCTGCTACATAGCCAATGCCAAATCTGAGAGAGCAGATGGCTTGCTCTGTGGCGCAGTCACACGATATGCCCTCTGGCCTGACACAATGAACCGTCTGCTCTGAATGAGCACATAGCACATCTTTGGTAGCTTTTGTTCTCGTTGCTGTGGAAATTCACATTCACGCATTGGCATGAATCAGGGAGTATCTGCTTGCAACTTGGCACAATGTGGCACAATTTTCACTGCTGTAGCCAGTAGTGTTATGGACCAGTGTGGGCACTGCTTCCATGCTGTAGGATTGGCACTGTGCACTACGAGGCACTTGCTCTGAAGTCAGCCCCAAGAGGGCCTTCTGAATGATCAACATGCTGTTTTCTCTGATGACGTTAATAAAGAGTGGAAGCACTGCTTTCAAAAAAGTGGAGACCCAAGCAAAGTAATAGCTTTGCTAATAAGCCAGTGGTTCTCAGACTGGGGCATTGTCTTCTCCCAGGAATAAGAGGATCCTATGGCAAGCAGACCTACTTTCCTTGTTGTAGCGCAGCTTAGTGCTGTGTCCATCAAACTACTCATTAACCTCAGAAGTTGTAGAAAGGAAAGGAACCCAAGGGGGCTTCAGGCCTGTGGCGCAATCACCTCCTGTCTCCTTGCCTGATTCACTAGTGTGAAGGAAGAGTCAGATATGCCCTGTTCTTCTAACTGAAACTGAGTCACATCCACTGACTCTTCTGCGCCAGTGGTGAGCTATGTACACGGAACCATATACAAGGAGCCCCTGTGCTTGCATGCCAAAGAGATGGCTGTTGAATTCCTAGGGTATGGAATGGGCTTCCATGCGAGATGGCTGAAGCCCCCTTGGTGAGGGTGTTCAAGCACAGGCTGGGGTTAGGGTGCCATGTCAAGAGTGGAGCCAGCTGGAGCCAGGCTCAAACTAGATGGCCTGAGAAGCCTCTTCTGACTTGCTCGGCTTCTGATTCTGTGAATGGGCAGGTACTGTAGTGAAGTGAGTTTACAAAGTGGCCCAATTTCAAGATGTTGAATTATTTGTAACTTACATGACATGGAACAACAGAAAAGTTCCCAACATGTAGCACAAATTAACTCAGCAAGTCTGTGTCTAGTGCAATGTTCACTGAGAATTTCAAAGACATAGCAAGGTATTGATGAATCTTAAGTGTTGTGCTTGATATACAGTTACTTAGAAAATATAGGGAAGGATGCCTTCTGTAAACATGCAATATGGGAATACAACTTCTTAACAATATTTTATACACTGAAAAGCTCCAGATTTGAAGTGAGGTACCTTCCTTTTATCTCTATAACTAAGAGGGCAAGGTAGGCTAGAATCTGACTGTTCCAAATTTCCTTTCTGAGTTTTTTGCATTAAAAATACCCAGTTTCGTATCTCACTTCATCTCTAAATTTCCACTTCTTCTATTTCTATAACATAATGCGGATAAGAACAGTTCTTACTCTGTCTTACCTCACAGCTGTTTTCTGTTTCCCAAAGGTACCCTAACGGAATGCATTCCCTTCAGCCACACCTGGTCCTGATATCATCACATGTTCCTGCTAATGAGGTTTGATTGGTTTTCTGGCCTCTTTGTCTTCTCCTCCTATCTTCAGGGGATTTGATCTCATCTGCTTTTTCTACTTTCAATGTATTGTGGTAGGAAGGGAAAGAATGAACTAACTGGCCTTGCCAGACCAAGAGAAAATGAGATAAAATACAGGGATAGAACGAAAAATATAGTTCACCAGACATGTCATCATTGGGTAGTATCCTATTGTGACCTCACACTTGCAGCAGCTACTGCTTGTGCCCCAGAACTTAGGCATTTCTAAGACTCTTTAAAGACTAATTTCCAAAACAGGGCAAATCAGTGTTGCTGGCAGCAGGGAACTCTACTGACCTGGCCTGATCAGGGAAACAAGTATTTCCATTTGTTTCTGTTTATATTTTTAGAAGCAACAAAGACCTGTTGTTCAAGTGGTGGGTTCTGATTATGTGAAAGAACCAGCAGCAGTGGAGTGGATACGACCCTGAGCTAAGCCTGGGGAAAGGAGTGTAAAAAAAAAAGTGGGGGGAGGGAGAAGCATGCCCAATTCTGCAAATTTTCTATTGTTTTGCTTTGTCTTGCACATGCTATAAACCTAGACACAAAGGCTGGCTAAGCACATGTATATACTGTAGATTACTTGGTGATCTACAGACCCTCTCACACTTTTGTCTCTGATGGACATTTTGCTAGTGCAAATATAAATAACAGGAACTGAAGGAAGAAGATGACATGCCAATTCAGTGGTTTATAAGAGGTGCTACTGAAAATATATGAGCATTAAAACACTCATGAGACAATTAAGGGTCTTTGTAAAACATTTGAGATATGTATGCTGTTACTCAAGAAGACAAGGAAGAAGTCTTGGAATTGTAAATGCAATTATAACACAGTTGTAAAATTTATATGTATGCACTCAAGCCTACCAATTAATTTTGAACAGTGACCTGGGCCAGTGCAGCTAGAACTGGACACCACCCCCTTCATCTCTAACAGTTTGGCACTAGTGGTTCTTCAATGATAAAATGCTGCATAATGTAAAGGAATCTGCCCTTCCTAGCCAAGGCAAAACTGTTTGCATTACCAACACAAATACCGAAGCTGTTTTGGTTCTAGGGCTGAGCCCTGGGCCACTGTTGGAGTTTCTGCATGGTAAGCAGTTGTTCTTGTGCAGAACTTAAGACTGTACTGCAGCTAAAATAGCCATACTTCATTTTTTTAATTTTTGGAGTTCTGCCTGAACTCACTTAATGGAGAAACACAGTTTTTCAACATGCAAGATTTGAAAAGTTGCCTGTGTTATATCCATAACAAGGGATAAGGAAAGTGTAGCTTTCCAGATGTTGTACTGAAACTTCCATCATCCCTCACTATTGGCTATGTTGTCTAAGACTGATGGGAATTCCAGTCCAGTGACATCTGGAGGGCACCTGCAGCAAACTCTTGAACAGTCTGACAGATACGTAACATAGGAGTCATAAACATAATTTGCTATAAGGAGCAGTTTCTTACCACAGGGGACTGGCAGGGGCTCATAAGTATCTCCTCAAATTAGTTTTGAATTTGTCAGTTTAAAAGTTACAATGTTAATCATTTTTCTATTAACTTATTTAAATAAATAATGTTTATTTGAAACTAGATTTGTGACTTGTAAAACAATATAGCTTGGAATGATTCCCAGTGTGAATAATACATATTTCAATTTTAATTGATGGGGTTAACCTATGTAGGTTTAGACTTTTTTAAAAAAGACTGAGAACTGCTAGCATTCCTTCAGGCATCTGTACTGCCTCGGGCCTGCTGGGAGCTGCAGGACTTGTTTCTGTCTAAGCATTAAAGTTCTTCCTTCAACTGAAAACCTAATGAACTAATCATTGCAACTAATAGCAGGTGCTTTTAAATATACACAATAACAAAAAGAGCCTGATGCTTCAAAATTAACATAATTCATTTCTGTTTCCTTCATGTTTTGCAAATTATATGACAATTTTTCTGTTCACTTTTCTTTCTCATTTTAGATGATTTTGAGCAGTCTTAAACCTGGAGTGGTACCTGTTTTGTATGAACATTGTGGCACCACTTTGGATTGCCTTCTTTATTACATAGAGAAGGCCTTGGATGGGCAAAAAGCGAAGAGCATTGGGATTATTAGTGATGGAGATTCCAGAGAGATTAACTTGCTTCAAGGTATATAAAATATTACATTTTTACAGTTTGTATTCTTTGTAAACTCCCAATAGAGTTTTGGCCAAAGATATTTAATAAATGAAATGAAAAGGGTTGAGTTCACACAAAATAGTACATCACTTTAATTATTCCAACATTATATGGTGTTGTAAAACAGTATAGCATGGAATTGATTAATATATTTGGCAAGTTTGTTAATAAGAATTTTTATCTTCAGGACCTAGAGATATGTTGCAGACTTTCATGTTCTGATTCACCCTATCTCCAAATGAAAAGAAAAATAAAATTGTATGAAGTATTATTGTTAAAAGAGTTGGCAGAGTTTGAATTATTATTACTGACACTAAATCCCTGCAGATCCCCCCACATCCAAGAATCTTGAAGAACAAAGGAATGCATTTGACAAACCTCTGTTTCCATACCTAGTTCAAAACCATCAGTGCTTGCCTTTCATTGGTTCTACTAGCAATGGCAGATGGGAGCTGTAAGCCCAAGCAGCTGAAGGGCCATGAGTTGCCAATCCCTGCATAAGTCAGCTTTAACATTATGAGATGGTTTTAACTTGTCCATGTTACAACCAGTAGTTTTGGCTGAGTTAGCCTTTCACCTTTATTTTAAGCATGAAAAAGAGCTGTGGGAGCCTATGAGTTTGAGTGGAGTAGTGATGGAGAAGGGAGGGGTTGGTGTAACTATTTCCTAGCTCGCCATTTTTCTATTTAGCTATTTTTCCATTCACAACAAGCTGTTTTCCACCAGCAGTAGGCAAAAAATGTAATTTTTTCTCATACAGAAATATAGTTGGGAAAGAGGCTGAGAGCAAATGGATGGGAAAGCATAACTTCCCCATCTCCTGCCACTGTGCACTACAGTCCCACCATACAAGCTTTTCATTAAAAGAGACATGCACTACTTTGGGCATTTTCTGTGGAATATCCAGATGATTCTTAAGGGAGGGTTCAACACCTTGACTATGCCCTCTTGATCCCAGAAAATAGAGAAAAATCAAAGCAATCATTTTACTAGCTGACAGTTTTATTCAGGTTATAGAATCAGTACCATGAACCTGCTTAAGCCTGAAGTGAGAGCATTTTGGGAGAAGTTAAGAAACTACATCTCCTCTCCAGAAGAAGGTAGTCATATCAACATCTTCGTTCCTCTGGCAGCATCAGGTCAGTTCTATATGCCATACTGTTTGGCATTAATACCCTTTTCGTCTGCTTGCAATAGGTCAAATCCAGCCTTACCGACCTCCTGCAAACTATTTCCTTGCAGATGTGTTAGACTACATTTCCCATCAGTTCCATGATGAAAAATGTAATCCAACAAATACAGAGGGCACCAATTTGGGAAAGGCTGGTCTAATTTAATGCAGCACCCTGAGATTATTCAACTTGAAACATCAAAACCTTGTAGCAAAGCCACCTTCTTTTCTGGAAAGGCTGCCACATACTTTGCAAATAAATACATAAATCCTCTGGTTTCTTGTCTGTATCTGAGATACCAGGTCCTCAACCTAAGGACCTGATGTCTAAGATCTAGAGCTGCTTAGCATCAGTTTAGTCAGTTATTGACCAAGGACATTTGAGTTTGAGATTATTAACTAGCACCAAAATTTCTTCTTTGGGCACACTGTACTTTTAGGAGCTGGCCCAAGACAGCTTGCTACCTGAGCTGAAAGACAAGATGGCACCCTCCCAAAGAAAGCTTTGGGATGTTATCTCCTTGAAAAATTAACAAAACACAAGACAGGAACCCTGATTTCTTTAGCCAACCATAGAGATGGAGGCTGAAACCTCCTCCAGATAATCATCTGGAAAGACCTAAGTACTCCCTCACTAAACCTAGATCAGCAGATCCTTAAGCGAAAGTTTAGCTCTATAGGTTTATATATATGTAGTGCTGTATGCAGCTTATTGTCACTATATTATTTTATGCTTGCTCTCAGTTATATTTTCATGTTGTATTGTTCATGATATAATAAAAAATCAAAAAGATGGTACCTTCCCCATTTCACCAATGGAAGTCAATTGAACTTACACCTGAATCTTGTCATGACCCTGATGACAGCCAGCTGAGCCAGAGAGTGTAGACTGGAACATACAGCTCTGTTCTCCAACAGAGAGGAACGGCCACTGGGCTGCTGCTGCACCCACCTCCCAGCACCACTCAGCATTTCTTGCCTGATACTGCCATCTTGCTCTGCCTCATGGAAGAGCTGGCTTTTTAAGAGCATGAGCAGGAAAAGCAAATGTGCTTGCAGAAGGTGCACCAGCAGTAATTACTTGTTCATGCTGTCAGGACATCTCCACAACATCAGTGTAACATCAATGACATTACATTCCTGTAGCTGCTCATTCTATTCTCTGCACTTTGTGTTGGCATGGCATTGTGCTGGAATTGGCACTCCAGAGAAGCAGAGACCTGATCCATTGTTTGTGCATCTATTCCCTTTCAGATGTCTTTTTAAATCACTCTTTACTGACAGATAAGTTATCTGCAATGAGCTTTCATCTTTGTGTCATTGTAAGATGTCTCTACAGTGAGCCTGCATTGGCCATCCAGATAGAGGATTTCTGATAGGAGTTCTGAAAGAAAGTGAAGGAGATTATTCACTGCCTTATTTATGGTGATCTCATCTATTGCTTCAACATTTGTGCAGTGACATGTATTTACTTAAGACATTTTTTACCTTGGTCTTTGGAACAAAATGATTAATACAAACAAAAGTTCTCTGCCCTTATGCTTCCAATCTAAAAGAGATTGCAGAAAATGGGTTAAAAAAGGGAAGAGGAGAGGAAAGAAAAGAAAAGAAGTCAGAACTACTTGAGTGTTTTTCTTCATTATATTTGGAGGAAATAATGCCCTACTCACAATATGAATGTAATCAGGCAAGAATGACTGAGATCACTGTAAATGGTCACTTGTTTCCTTTGTTTTGCTTCTTAAAATAGGCAATGCAGTTATAGAGGGGAAAAGGCACAACACATTTCTTGTGTACTATGGACTAACAAAAATATACAGGATCAGGATGGCATAGGCACTGGATTAGTAAAAACGTATATTGATTTTTGTTTTAGTGAGGTCTAATTATTACATTATGTAGAAAAGACAATAATTTTCCAGAGACAGGAATGGAGGTCCTTTCCCAGCTGTCTCATCTAACTGGAGTGCTCTTCAGGGCTCCTACTGGAATAGCAACTGGATCGTATCAACATAGTAAGTAAAAATACTATACATTCTTGGCAAGGGTGTGTGAAGTGTCTCATTTCATTACGTGTTTTAAATCTGCTACATCCAGTCTCTTCCTCAGAGACTGCTGGGACATGAGTAAAAGCCCCCAATTTTATTTGGAGAACTGCTTTGATCCACAGGCACAACCTGATACACAAAGAACATTAGCAGTGGCTTTGGTTCTTAAACCACAGTTTGATAAATGCATTATGCCCACTGAAAGATATTGACTATTCTCTTTCTCTCATTTCCCTAAATCTGTTTTTGAAATTAAAAATCCAGTTTAGCATCAAGAACATATGTGGCCTTGTCTTACCATATTAGAGGTAATTGTGCTCTTTGAATACTGGCTGGTGGAAAGATTTATCTGAAATCTATAGCAGAATGATTCAAGTGGGGGAAATAACTTGATGTATCATTCATTATAGTCCTCAGTGAATGGCTCGGGAATCAGAAGGACAGCCCTCCTCCATCTCTCTACTTCACTGAAGAAAAATTTCAGATTTGGCTCAGATTTACAGAACTGCTGGAAGATGCACTGAAAGCTGTCAAGAAAAAGCTGAGACCATATTTTTGTGATTTGAAGAAGAATATAGCTGGCAAGATTCTTGGTAATCTCTCCTCACTTTTGAGTTCAAAATACATTTTAAAAGTAAAGTTATAAGTATTTTTAAAATGTAGCATTTTTATAAGAGTGTAGAAAATCATTTTGTATTATACATGAGTAGATTCTTATCTAATGGTCTGTTCTACTTCCGTTATACTGAAGTACAATATTTATTTATGCAAAGCTGTGAATAGGTAGCATCTATTATGTAATTTTGTGGCAGATCCATTTAATCAAATCCCAACACCAAACAAGTGGAGTTTGTGCTTTGGATACATGTAAGGATTGCCTAGGGCATATGCCATGTTCTTCATGTGAGTTGTATGGAGGAACTTTTTGTGCTTGTGTGAGCACAAAAATTAGCTCCATAAATCTAAAATGCATTTTGTGCATGTGTCTGTAATTTCCACACTACAGATGGGAAAAAACCTTTTGTTCCAAGACAATATTTCTCATATTCTGCTTCTGCTTCTGGTTTATTTTACTGAAATACAGTGTCACACAATTAGGTTATTTGTTACCTGACTACATTCCTAAATACTACCAGGCCTGTCAAGTGTATTTATGAGGCTCACAGAGATTTGCCTCTCTTTAGCAGCAGTATTTAGTTCAGTTCAGTTCAGTTCAGTTCTGTTCTTCCTCAGCTACAATCCTACACTCCAGATGTGTAGGATTGTAGCTCTCATAATACCCAGCCAAGGTGACCAGTGGCAATCTGGCTATGAATAATGGTAATTGCAGTCCAACACATCTGGAGGATAGCGAAGGCTACTTTAGTTTAATCTGTTTAAGGACCTTCTTTCTGCTTCTTTTCCCTGCTGCATAAAGATTGTCCCTTTTTCCCTGTGTCTCGAAGTAGGGCATACATCTGCAGTCTCGAGGACACTGTATTCATACAATGCACTTCTTGAATGCATTGGATACTGTTTGTGGAATTTGTATTATATGTTCTTGGGGTGAATAGAAAATCCTGACCACTCGATTTGGATTTCATTTGGCAGGGAAATGAAAGCTGGATGCGGTGTCATTCATTCCTTGGGCAGAAAGGCTAACAATTAATATATTTTGCATGCTGGTGGGATCTTATGTCATGTGAGTGGCTTGGCATGTGATCAGCTGCAGGTTAGAATACGTTTGAGGAACTAGCTAATGAGCTTGATCATCTAATGACTCCATGCTTTGTTGTCAATCCTTTTGCATCTTAAACATTACAACAATAAACTGCTACATGTAGGCCAGATAATGTTTGAAACTGTGAGCTGGTGTGAACTTCAAGACAACCGAAGAATAGCCCAGGCATTTGCTGATGGATTAGTTGAAGCCTCAAGGGGAAACCATGTAAGCGAAGCTTGTTGCTTTTAGTATATTAAATGAAATTGCTCTGTGCTCAAGTTTTGACTTTTAGGGGTTAATTCAGCGGGTTCCTGTGCTCAGTGGGCTATGTTTAAGCTGACTCAAGGGTAGAAAATAATGTACTCAGGCACTGTGACCCAACCATCCTGCTAGTTCAGCAGCCCTTGCTAATGTCCTTGTGCCCATCGCTACGGCTTCCATCCCTTGCCTCACGTGTCCACATCTTCTCTGCCAGAGGTACTGGTTCATCTCATCAGCTCAGGAGCCAGCATGCTTTTTTAAAAATGTCCAGGGAAGTGAACTAACAAGAATTCTGTGGCATTTATTTTAATGACAAAGAGTCTTGTGGCTCTTATATTTAAAGAATCAACTGTGGCATGTTTCTGTGGACTGGAATCCACCTCAGCAGATGCACGACTCACTATCTTTGGCTCTTTACCCAAGTTCCCTGCACACGAACAGCTAAATATGTAGAAGGGACTAAAGCCATGCCTCCTGGCCCCACACTGGGCATCAAGTGTCTCTGTGGTCTTTTGCTTCCAGATGTTTGTGCCTAGTTGTGTCAGGTGTCCCTTTGCAGACACTCTTCGCTATAGACTTGTGTCAAAGTGGGCTCAGCAGAAAGAGGCAACACAATGCTGCTCCCCCTTTCTCCAGGTACACAGAGTACACGTGGACAACATCTGGAGGAGGCTTTTGCTTTTGCTTTGTTTAAGGCAGGTTGGGTTAAACAAGCTGGGCCTTCTGCAATGTCAGTCCAGCCCACCAGGGTTCTCCAGAAGACCACACCCCTTCCCTCCAGCTAACTGTCCCTTGGAGATTTCCTAGCTTTTGCCAACATTTCTTCTCTTTTCTAAAAGGTTACAATGCATCTCCTAAAGCTTAGCAAACAGCAGCAAGCACTTTCAGCTACAATGTGCCATATGGGGGGGGGGCACATCTTTTTCTTTGGCCCCACCCACCCAGATACCCTGAGTCTGTTAGAAACAAAAAGGCCTTACAGTACATTTTGCTGCCGCCTAGAAGATGCCTGAATGACGGAACCTGGCGGAAAAGCCATTGGTCTCAATTGCACCACTAGTTCCACTGGAAGGCTATCAGAAACAGTTCAACATGACAGGGCAGTGCAGTGCTTGTCTGCAAGCCGCTCACCCCACAGATCGCTCCAGTCACATGGCAGTCCTGCCTGTCTGTGCCGTGGCATGTTCTTATGTGTGACTATCACTATGGAGTGTTTCAGGCTTCAGGTTCCCACTATGGAGCTGCTGTTGCAGGCAATGATCTGCAATCATTGCCTTTCTGGGGACTTTTACATGCTCTGTGCAATTAGATCATACAGTGGTGTTATTGCACAGCTGAGTTTCCATTTATTACGATGGGACTGATCCTCTGCAAATCTACTGAAGAAGGCTGGATGATACACAGCCTGGCATATATCACGTATTGGTTAACAGGTGGTAACAGTGGCCTCTGTTGAGGAAAGGAGCGGTTCACAAGGGCCAGTCCTCCCTCCTATGAAGCCAAATGAGGCTTGCCATCACTACCATCCCTCCTCCAGGGAGTCCCACCAGCCCCTTCACCCCTATGGCATTTTCCACAAGAGAGTGGCTTGTGGAAGGGCCATTGGCCACCCTCTGTTTCCCTTCTCATACCCCATCAATTTTTGCTGCCACTGTGCCAGCCCTGTGGAAAGCAACATGGCCAGAAGAAGTTGCTGCAGGTCTCCCATGAGAGCCAGAGACCATGCCTTCTGGCCCCGCAGCTCTCTGCAGGGCTCCTATGGATGCCCCAGTGCAAAGGTAACTGGAAGGCGTGCTACCAGGTTGGTGGGGCACAATGTGATCAGACAGTTTGCCCCAGGGGCACAGTACATATATTGCCTTGAGTACTTTTATGTTTTTTTAGGAAAACCCTCTGGAATTTCTATCATACTTCCTGATGAAGAAATACAATACAAATGACAAGCTCAAAAACAAGATTTTCTTGTCAGAAAGCAATCCAGAAGCAAACCTTCCTGCACCAGTTAAGGTACCATGAGTTGTGGACTCTTTGGGCTCCCCTGTAGTTCTTTAATAACTCCTTTTTTTGTTTTGTTTTTTTGTTCTGGAACATTATTGTCTGACAGGATTGGACAAAGAAAAGTGAACCAATGGGTATTAAGGGGTTGAGTGCAATTCTGAAGTGATTCTTAATGGTTATGTTTTTCTTTTTACTATACTCTGTTAATTACATCAGACCTTACTAAGAGGAGAAAGACAATATACAAATTTATAGAATTATGTTCCCAGCCTAGTTCTCTGCAGTATAATCAAAAAAGCTAATGTGATGTGAAATCTAAATCTAAATATTTCTAATACAGATATTTGTAGTCAAGATAGATTCAGTTCAGCTAGACCAATTAAGCAACTCTATTTCTAAAGAAACCATATTTCTGAATATGTGAATTAAAGTATTTTTTTAAAAGTATTTTATCCTACTCAGTTGAAAAGCTTACAACCCACAGACATAACAGCAACACACAAGAAAAAAAGGAACTAGGAGGGAAGCAGGTGAAATTAAATCTTTCAACAGAGCTGGTGGAGTGGCCTTGCTTTCCTCTCTCATCTCCCTTTCCATAGCATAGGTAACAGTTGAGTGGGGAGGAGTCGCCATGACAATGCAATCCTATAGAATTATATTCAGAAATAAGACCGCGTCCAACAGCATTTACCATCAGGATCTGGGCAGCTCTGGGGCCGGAACGAGAGAACCAGAAGTCCTACTACAGAATTTGCAGGATTGGTCCTAGACACTGCTGGTGCTCATCAGGAGACTGGAGAAAGAGCTGTATAAGAGCAAGTTCTCCTGAAGAAATGGCCTCAGCAACACAGGACTTTGCTGCAGTGCAGCTCTGCTCCTGTATCTCACCTTATTTGGTTCTTGTCCTGCCTTCCTTGCTCTGTCCCACCTTGCTGTATCTTGCCTTACTGTCTAGGCTCAGCAGTCCAGGCCTTCCTGCTAGCTGTGTTTCAGTTCCTGTATCTGCCTCTTGTTGCATCCCGTTCCTACCTTGCTTTCTCACCTCAGCAATGAAGGTCTTCCTGCCAACTGCAGTGTGTTCTAGTTGCATTTTGCCTGACCCCTCACTGGAACTTGCTCCTACCATGCCCTGCCGCATTGTGCCTTGCCTTGCTGCCTCACTTTGCTTGCCAAACCTTCACTGCTCCTGAATCCCACCAATTTAACCTCTGTCAAGGTACCCGTGCCTTGCTCTGTCTTCTTCTTGCCTTGTGTTCTGTTGCCTTGATCCGTGGTGCCTCTGTCTTGACTTCTACCTCTCGTATCCTGGACCCTGACATTTACATCCAGATAAGATTGCAGCCAGAGAGCCTTTTGGGGCAAACCGATACACTGGTCTTTTATGCTTGTGTGGCTAGATATTTAGCTTGCCCTAAACAGATGGCAAAAGAAGAAGGGGCGGCAGAGAATGAGGTGGCTTGACGGAGTCACTGAAGCAGTTGGAGGGAGCTTGAGTGGACTCCGGGGGATGGTGGAGGACAGGCAGGCCTGGAGGAATGTTGTCCATGGGGTCGCGATGGGTCGGACACGACTTCACGACAAAAACAACAACAAACATGACTGAAGATCTCTTAGAAATGCATAATCAAGTATCCCAGGCCATATCCCAGGTTCTCCAAATAAACACTTTTTTAAAATGTTGCTGACTTAAATCTCTCATATTTTGATTTTAGAGTGGTAAACTTCTTGAAGACACAGCAGACAGACGTAAAATCTTAGCCGGAGAGCTTATGTTAAGTGAGAAGGAATACATGGACAGTCTGGAAATTATAAGAGATGTTTATGTTAAGCCACTGAAAGCAGCACTAGCTTCAAATCGAGCCATCTTAAGCTATGCCAGTGTTCAGCTAATCTTCTCTGATATCTTGAACATCTTACAACTGAATAGGTACATTGAGCTGACTGTTCTGAAACACACAAAGATTAAAAAGTCACCAAGGTTCTTATTCTAAACAAAGTAATTGTGCTTGGGATGTGTAAGGAGATTGCTTCCCTCCCCCCCAAATGACTAGTTATTGCATTTGTGGTGGAGGTAAATTCCTTTATGTCTAGGCCTTTAAGGATACCATGCAGACAAATGTGTCATAAACAGACTACTGTAAGTCTCCAGTGATCCTTTTTTTAAGTGAGGCAGCCATGGGAGGATGGGAGTTTTCAGCGCAGGAAATGAGGTGATGAGACAGGAAGGGTTTAATTTTCTTTTATAGGTGGCAAAACAGCTGGATATGCTTTTTAGCACAAAAGTGGCTGAAGGAAGATCGTTAAGCAGCTTTCTCCTTGAGTCTTATTCTGAGTCAGGCCATTGGTCCGTATAACTCTGTACCGTCTATACATTGCCTGGCAATAGCTCTCCAGGTTTCAGATAGGAGTCATACGAACACAAAAAAAGCTATGCTGGATCAGACCTGTGGTCCATCTAGTTCTGTTCGCACCAGTTGTTAACAGGATTCTCTCAAGCAGCATAGGAGGAAATAAATGGCTCCTGTCCAGGTTCCCCAGCAAGTAGTCTACACAGGTACACTGCTTCTGATACCAGAGGCAAGTTATAGCCATGGTGGCTAGTAGCCATTGACAGCCTTCTCCTCCATGAATTTGTCCAATCCCTTTTAAAGCTTTCTATATTGGTGACCATCACAACATCTTGTGGAAGTTAATCCCATAGTTTAACATAGTTTAATCCCATAACCCTATGTGAAGAAGGACTTCTTTTAATATGTCCTGAATCTCCCACCAATCAGCTGCATGGGATGACTCTGGATTCCAGTATTATAGGAAAAGGAGAAAATGTCTCCCTCTCCGCACTAAATTTAATGCATCTATCATGTTTTCCCATACTTGCCTTTTTTCTAATCCAAACCATCTCAACTGGTTTGTAACCATTCCTCATAAGGGAATTCCTCTAACACCTAGTTTTAGTTGTCCTTCCAGGCACTTTTTCCAACTCTGTAATATCTTCTTTAGGTGAATAGTCATAACTGTATACAATATTCTAAGTGCAGTCACACCCATATAAAGGGGAGTATTTTATTGGCAGTTATATTTTCAGTTTCTTTCCTGATTATGCCTAGCATGATGCTTGCCTTTTCATAGTGTGCAGGGTTAAAGTTTCTTTGAGCTGTTAACCACTATCCCAAGATGCTTTTCTAGGTCAGTTATTGCTAGCTTAGATCCCATCAGATTACACTTGAAGTTGGGACTGTTTTTCCCAGATACTTTGCCTGTATCGAACCGCATTTGCTATTTTGATACCCCTTTTTCCAGTTTGGAGAGATTCCCTTGAAACTCCTCACAATCCTTTTTCATTTTAAACATTCTAAATAGTTTGATGTCATCAGCAAACTTGGCCATTCCACTGCACATTCCTAATTCAGATAATTAGGGAATAGTTTGAAAAGCATTGGTCTCATACAGAAACCTGTGGGACTCCTCTGTTTAAATATTTCCATTGGGAGAAACTACCATTTATTCCCATTCTTAGATTTCTATTTGTTAACCAGTTATTGATTCATAAAAGCACCTTCCCTCCTATTCCATGACAAAGTTTTCTCAGAAGTCTTCGGTAAGCAGCTTTGTTAAAAGCCATTTAGAAAGGAAAGTAAATAATGTGTACCATTCATATATTTACTGACACTCTCAAATAACTCTTAGTAAGTTAATGAGACAGGACTCACCTCTGTGGAAGGCATGCTGGTTCTCCTTCAGCTGGGTTTGTCCCGCTATATCTTTACTGAATGTATCTTTAATAACACTTTCAAACAATTTATCCCGAACATACATTAAACCAGTTGGCCTGTTATTTCCCAGATACCCACTGGATCCCTTTTTCAAAACTGGCATTACATTGGCTTTCTCTAGTCCTCTGGTACATTGGATGATATTAGGACAGTTTACATATTTTTATAATGAGGTCAGTGACTCTAGGCTGGATAGCATCTACGCCTAATTATTTATTAACTTTCTGTTTTTCAATAAGATTGAGAATTTCATCTTTTGTCAGCCTTATTTGCCTTAATTAATCAAACTCCCTTCCTGAATATATAACTTCAGGAACAGGTATCTGTCCTATGTCTTCTGCTGTGAAGACAGGTGAAAAGTATCCATTCAGCTTATCAGCAATCTCTTTATCCTCCTTTAGTACTCCTTTCATTCCACTATAATCCATCTGGATTTCTAGCTAGAATCTTTCTTCTGATATATTTAAAGAATTATTTATCATTGGCTTTGATGCTTTTAGCAAAATAAGCTGCTCAAAATTTTGTTGAGCCTTTCTTATCATCTGCTTGCATCTTTCTTGTGCTCCGTGCTGCTTTCCTCTTTTGGGCAAGACTTCCATTTTCTGAAAGAAGCCGCTCTTTAATGACTTACTTGACATTGTTTTAACTATGCTGGGGACCTCTTGGACTTTGTGTTATTCTTCCCAACTCAGCATCTATTATTGAAGTTTTAAGTTGTCTCCAAGCATTTCAAAGGGATGTTATCCTCTTGACTCCCCTATCCTATTTTCAGCAGTTCCTTAATTTTTTTTAGAAGTTTCATCTTTTGAAGTCAAATGTGACTGTGTTGAATCACTTTGGCAATCCTCCCCTCAGCTCCACAATATATAAAAATAATAGGGCACTGTTTCCAAATTACATATAAAATTAATAGAGAACAGTCATCTGGCACATCAAGAACCATACTACCTCTGTCAGAACTGGGGCATACATTTACCTAGCCAAGTCAGGGTAGTTGAAGTCACCCATGGCTGCAGCACTAATTTCATCTTAAGATCACCCTGAGCATTCTGGTCTGTGGGGCAGCATCCCATTCCTAGGACTGTATTAGTTTTAGAGCCTGGTAGCATCACCCACTGTGATTCTGCGAAGGAGCCTGCATCTACTCAGTTTTTAAGTCAGCTGGATTCTGTGCTCTCTTTGATGTACAGAGCAGCATCTCCTCCAGAATGCTCTTCCTATAAAATGGGCATTCTGTGTGACTATCCACAGTCTTGAACCTATAAATATTTTCAAAGCTAGGGTCATTTAATGCTTTTCTATTATTTCACTGGTTCTTTTCATTTTACTGCTGTTGGAACATGGGTAAATTGCATATCAACACTCAAGCTTTGATATTTCAACACTGAAGCCAAGCACAGATGACTTAACAGAATGTCCTAGCAGCATCAGCCTGAAACACTTTAAAATATAATATTTGGTAAGTTATCAAATTTGCTGAAGGTTTACAGGCAAAGCATGTTTATTACATGTGATTTCATACAGAAGGATCCTAAACTGTTGTACCAAACTGTACACAAGTGTGAGCATGCATGCCTTCCCTTGGTAAATTACGCTGTGAATCCTATGTGCACTTACCTGCGAGTAAGCCTCGCTGAGCACAGTGGGATGTCTGAATAAGCATTCATAAATCAGCATTCATAGAAAGGTATAATAACAAGTCAAATTGTGAGGCAAATTCTACTCATCCCAATTCACTTGATTTCTAATTGGATATACAGTATATGTAGGTATGGTGAACCAGTCCTCAATACTTTGGAACAGATTTTACAGAGGACTAGTTTCTCACATAATTGAACTACCTAAGTTACTATTTGTGGCAGTAGCCTTCTTTATTCACACCAGGTTGTTGTTCTGCTAGGGTGCAGCAATGGCTTCACCACTCGCAACAACATGAATGAGAGCTTTGTTGGGTGGTATAGAAATTAATTAATTAATTAAATGTGTCTGAGACTAGTTTTATTGTTCATGTCACTCAAATTGGGAAAGAGGTTTCTCCTTAAATGTGCAAACGTGTTTGTTATCGCCTGTTGAAACTTGCCTGTAACCAGATAGGAAGAGAGAAACACCCTTTATGTCTGTTTCAAATGCAGGTGTTTTTTTGATGAGTTAACAGAAAGACTTAAAGAATGGAGCCCAGCCCAAAATCTAGGAGATGTATTCATTAAATTTGGCCAGCAGCTTCAAACATACACAAACTTCTACAACAACTATGCAGTAATTCTGAAAACTATAGACAAGGTAAGAATATATCACCTTCACGGGACTCAAAACTGAGTGTTCCTTCTATATTCACTCTGTCTTAATAGAGATGTGTTGATGCTCAAGGACATCTTTATCCATCAGTGTTAAAATTGGTTGTAGGTATTCCCTAGGATAGCTGTCTAGTGTGCTACTGGTACAAGTGCTTTGTTTTTCTTACAAGGCAGAGGTTGTTTCTTCTGGGAAACCTCTCTGTTTAGAGCAGGGGTCTCAAACTCACAGCCCGCGGTCCAATTGCGGCCCACGGAATGATATTTCGTGGCCCCCATGTGATAGCAAAGTTTAGTGATAGTGTGGCCCGCGCGTTTTTCTCACACGCACCGGCGTGAGTCGTTACCCTGGGCGCAATGTTCCCTCTAAGCTGCACACTGGGACGGACGGGGCACGGGGGAAGGGCCCTGCGGCCTTCAAAGCTCCAGCGGCGCCCAGGCCAGCCTCCGGGAGCGACGCGGGATGAGCGGCCCACCACCACCACCGTGGAAAAGTGGAAAAGCAGACAAGCTTGGACAATTTTTGAAAGAATTGCCCTTTACCTTCCCTGAGCTTTCCAGGATGTTCAAGTGGACCGTGTGCCTTTTTGGGAGCACCTATCTGTGTGAAAAGCTCTTCTCCACCATGAACTTTAATAAGTCAAAGTTCAGGTCCAAACTTACTGATGAGCATCTTCAAGCGCTCCTGAGGGTCTCAGTAGCTTCCTCCCTCAAGCCAAATGTGGCTCAGCTGTGTAAGAGGAAGCACTGTCAGATCTCTGGCAGCAAGGAGTAGGAAGAAGTAAGAGAAGCCTATGTTCTGAAGAACCGTTCATGTTCTGAATTATTATTAGTAAAGATTGAGAAGATTGGATCAGTTGTACTCTTTTTGGAATACTTGAAATCCCTTTTTTGTGGAATACTTGATGTGGCCCAGCCTCACCCAGACTCTACTTCCAGCGGCCCCCAGGTAAGTTGAGTTTGAGACCCCTGGTTTAGAGCAATGGAGCCAGAATAGAGATGTTTTCAGCTTGAAGGAGCTTCAGTTTCCTCCTCCTGGAGGCCAGTATATAAAGCCAAATGCGTAATATTGTTGATCTGTTTTTAATTTGTTCATCTCTAAGCTGGGAGCAGTATTAGCCATTCCTCTGTTCAGCATGTCTTTGCCTGTACCATCACTCCTTCCTCCCACATATTACCTGGCCTGCCACCCCCATCAAATCTGCTTTGCATGGGTTTTGATCAGGACTTGCATAACTTGTCATCCTCCATACCAGATGTAGCTTATTAACATGTACTGTGGCTTGCTGAGAGCTTGGCCTTGCCACTTCTCTTTGCTTTTGCAGATCCAGGCAGCAAAAAGAGAATAATCAAACCTGCAGTGGCCACATTCAGCTTGTCATGGCACAAACTATGTGGGCCCGTTTCAGACCCATCTCCACAAATACCTGTATATATTCTATATGACAGATTCATATATACAACCTTTTATATATCAGGGGTGGGCAATATTCAGGCTGCATGTAAAAAGCAAAATAAATAAATAAATAAATAAATAAAAATGGCAGTGTTTGAAGCTAAATTTGTTTTGAAGATAACTTCAACGTGTATGGCACTCTAGAACAACAAATGAAAATTCAAGTTCCAGCTACTTTAAGTTGCCCACTTTTGTTATAAAGTAAGGTAAAGCAGAAGAAGACCCTGTCCCAGAAAACATGGGTAAAGGTTCATAGTATCAAATCAGTGATCTGACCCACCTAAGCTTTTCATGATCTGGGAACCTGGCTGAACTGCCTTCCCTGAGTCCCCCACCCCACCCCGTAGAGACTTCGAAGGGAAGCCAGAAGGGCATCCTTAGGGTGGCTCAGTTGAAAGATCAAGCCAAACCACAGTTTGGCCTCCAGTTTCTACGAAGCTATGTGTCAGCCATTTTTATGTTGTTTCCACCACTTGCCTGCATTCCTGTGACGTCTCCAGAGCTTCCTTCCTCAGCAGTGCTAGCGGCGGACAAAAGCCTCACTGCAGAACAGGCCTCAAGCCTGCCTCCAAGTGCAGGGAACGACCATGGCATCTAGGAATTTTGCAGCTTTCTCTTTATTTGGCTCATAGTTTTGTGAATCACATTCACCCTGATAACCCAGGCTTCTTGCTTTCACAGTGCAGGGAAACTATTCCAGTATTCCGTGCCTTCTTGAAGAGACATGATAAGACTGTTGTTACTGCCATGAGGAGGTGAGCTTTGTACTTCAAAGGGGGGAAGGGATTGCTAAAATGTGTAAGGAAAAATACTAGTGATCAGTGCAAGCTTCTTACTTGTTAAGTGTGAATATACTTTTGCTCATTGCATCAGGACTGGTGCTCTTAGAAAAAGGGAAAGAACACACTAGGTTAAATTAACTAAACAAGCTTAAAAAAATCTGACCACATGATTCCACTGTCTGAATCAGAGCTTGATTAACCCATAAGAAATACTTTGTAGAATGGCAAACTAGCAAAGCCAGGGCTTGTAATGTTTAGTTCCAATATTTTAGTGCTTCTCTGAGCTTAGGTCTTTCAAGTACATTCTGCAAATATTAATGAGTAGGAGATAAGAACAGAGCAGCAAAAAAGGGGAATTTTTTGCACCTCAGCCCTGTCTGGAACCACCTGCAAACTATTTCTAATATTTTCAGGAACTTAGTAGTTTCAATTAGAAAATGCATCATGCTAGCCTATTGCTCTTGTAAAAGACTACACATAATGTATATGATATACAGCCTACAGGAGCTTCTGTTGTGCCCTTCTAAGAGAGTTGAAGCGTATGTCACACTCTTGTATGCTCTGAGACTGCACACTCCTCCAGAACATACTGACCGTGAAGACTTATCTGCTGCAATTAAACAAATGAAACAATACAAGGATTATTTAGAGCAGGTCTGTCAATTATGTTCTTTTTGGTATGATAATCTTGCAGGAATCACTCAGACACTGTGGACTGACTAAGCTTTACATGCAAAACCTATGTCTGGATTTCAGAGTGGAATTTTATTCTAGAAATAGCTTTGCCGCCTCTCTTTGGATGAGGCCTGTGATGCAGGGAATCCAGCATTTTCTCCCTGTGCTATAAGCCATAAGAGGCAAATTCCAATGTGAATTGCCCAGATAATTTTGGCTATTGAGTGGTCTGGAGAAGAAATCAACTACAACCACAATAGTAGCAACAGAAATGCATGGTAGAGCTGCCTGTATGTTTGCCCTCTGACATAGAGGATGCAGTGAGTTTATCTCAACAAAAATTATGGTGGGAGATCCACTCACAGGTTTCCCATGAAGAATCCAGGTGCTCCTCCCATCAGTGTAGGAAGGTGGCAATCCGGCAGAGCCCTTTCAAGTGGTAACAACCTGCTTGTCAAATTCTCTATCCAGGATTCTCACCGTATTTGTGTAATTGATCTGAATGATCTTTGGATGAGAGCAACACAGATATAAACCTACTTGCTTTCATTGTCTTACCTTCCTTGTATTATATCTCTAGCTAAAACTGAATGTGGACAGAGAGGATCAAATATTAAGCATGCAAAGGCTCATCCAAGGATGTCCGGTAAGTTTGCCTGTGTTAAGTGCAGGGTAAGGAAACTGCATGCTGAACCTGTGATAAAGCCCAGGAAATGTGCCACAAGGTGAACTGTGTGCTCATTCATAAATAACACAAGGAAAAGAAGCACCTTTACTGAAGATGTTTGGAGATTTTTTTTAAAAAGTATAGGAGTGCATGTTAAAAGGCACATGACAGCGGGAGAAAACTGAAACCAATACATCTCTTGGGGATGCTTATTCTAAGGCTCACAAAGATGTAGTAAAGGAGTATGAAAATATAATGGCACCATGTGCAGAGTTTTTAATAAAAAAAATGAATCAACAATTGGAGCAAAGTGTTAGAATATGCCTTATGGATTAAAGTAGTGCTTAGCAGTGATGAATGGGAAAGGGAAATTGCATAATTGTTTGTTGAAGAGGGTAATATGGGACAGGCTCTAAATTGTGCCAATGATACTAACAGGATAGTGTGGCACCTGGTTTATGCTTAATTATGAAAGAATCCTATATAATAAGATAAAAAATTAGAAGTGGCTCTCAGACAGAGGGTAATAGTAGGTTCTTGGTCTGGGAAAACTTAATACTGCTGACCTAAGAAGCACTTTTCATTTTATCTGTTTTAGAAAAGACAGTGCATCAATACAAACAAGAGCTCTTTCAATAAAAGGTTTTTGTGTAGTTTGATGCAGTAAGTCCCAGGACTTAATTTAGGGCACAAGTGAACATCTGTGCTGAAGTGTGTTCAGAGAATATTTACAAACGAGTCAAAATTTTAATAACAAGGGTGGAGAACCCTTTTTGCTCAAGGGTTGAATTTGCTGTGAACAAACATGTTGGGGCTCTCTTGGCTACAGCTGGTGAAGTCACTGCACTGCTGGTATGTGGCCAGCTTGATTGCCCAAATCCATTTGCACACTCTCTGTCTCATACACAGGCTCACAAATGCATACTCCTTCCTGAACCATGCTCCTTCAGCAGCAGTTAAGAGTTTTTTAAAGCCTCCATTTGCACCAGTGAAGGTCTTTAAAAAGCCTGACTGGAATGATGGTGTGATTTTTTTTTGGAATGGATTCCTGGTATTGGGTGGGGGAACCACAGCTCTCTGGTCCCTAGCAGTGTCTCCCTTGAAAAATGCCTCCCCTTATGCTATTCACACCAACAGAGGCTTTTAAAAAGCCAAATGCTGTGTGGTATGTATTGGAGAGATAGAAGACAAGGGAAAACTGCTGAATGAAGAGGATTCAGTCTGGAAGCAAAGGGAAGAGGGGATGGGGACGAGGAGGTGGGACAGTGGAAGTTTACCATCATTCAGATTAAGCTTTATCCTGGTGCTTAAACAATTCAAAAGTCTATGATTAATGTACATAACCTATCAAGTACAAACTACATAGAAAGAATCAAATGTGGCCTGCTTAATTTTAATCTTCTACTGTTTAAATCACAGCAATTACTGAAAGCTAATAGGTATCTAATTAGGACACAAGATGTAGCCCAACTCAGCAAGTATTCTGAGAGAGTTGATTTGCCATTCAGGTAAATGTATTGATATTATAAGTATTTGTTGGGGATGGAGTAAGCCAAAAGAAAACTTAAGAAAAATGGCTACTTAAAAGTTTTGAAAGTTTGTATTCTAGCATTCTACAGGGTGCGGCAGAAATACCTCCCACGTTTTAAAGGTTTAAAAAAGGAAAAAGAAACATTTGTTAAAAATTAATTTCACTATTGTTTAAACAAAGGATTACAGTTTTTATTCATTTGGTTTTAAAAATTACATCCTCCAAATGGTGGCCTCTATTCACTATACACTGTTGTAGACAATTTCTGAAGCCTGAGAGATGAAAGTGAGCTTCATCACTTGTGAGAAGAACAGCATTTGCAGGAACATTTTGAAGGATATCGTCACAGCATGACAAGCGAACTTCCCAGTTGCGTTCATGCAGTTTCTGAGCAATCATTAATTTGTATGGATGGAACTTCAGATCAGTGTGTAGAATTCTTCTGACTGTTCGATCATACAATCCCAAGCAGAAGCATGTTTACGAGTTGAACATGTAGGAGACCAAGTAACAGAAAGTCTCACAGCTTGAACACTTTCTGGAGTTCAAGTGCTTCAAGGTCTTCCAGGTGACTTTTTTTTAAGTGCTGAACCTGTGGCTCTGAAATTTGCAACCCATAGCAGTATTGTTTTTCTATCCGGAACAGCATTCCGACCTAACATGTAATGAGTTCGAAAAGTTCTCTGTGTTGGAATTACAGATTCACCATTCTTCAAAAATGTTTCTACAGCAAAAGCACGCTGTGCACAAGTCCAAACCATATTGCTAGATGTGGGTATATGAAAAAAGGGAAGTCATTAGCTAAATGAAGACATCATTGCCACTTGCATAAGTTCATTAGCAACACATAGGTGAAAGTTTAAAATGTGGGAGGTATTTCTGCCGCACCCTGTATGTTTTCCTTTCTTTAGTCAGACTTATGTGAATTGTCTTTGACTAGAAACAAACAGCATGCATCGCAATCTTGTCAGCACATAAGCCTAAACTGTGGAGCTGCGACAATCTTTAGTTAATGGGCAGCATCCAACAGGGTGTATGACTCATTGATACTCTCGTGCCCTGCAGATTCTGTTCCACAAATGGCATCCACCACTCACACAAGGAAGATCTAATGCAACTTGGGACAACCCAAGGCATGTGAAAAGCTTGTTTCTGGCAGGAGGCCTATTTCTGGAACTCAGATAAAGGAGCTTGGAGGAGTAGCAGCTCATTGTTTCTGCTCATGTCAGGGTTTCCTTTAGGAAGTGCTAAACCTCTGTGTGGTTCAGTGTTGGGTCCCACTTGCATGATGCAACTGGGAGGACCCACCACTTCCGAAAGGGAGTCATCAGTATGGAGGTAAATCAGAAGGGTGAGTAGCCATCCTATTGGATATTGCCCAATGTTTTCTCCACCTTAATTGTGCCAATGGTACAGAAATAATTATTTCTAGTTAAGAACAGAAATTCTATCCTTTATAAGGCTTACTGATTAATTTCCTAATAGGCATGTAACTGCTCTAACTTAAAGAATATTTAAAAATGCAAAAAAACCTATTAATAACTCAGAAGTCTTGTGTGGATACAATTTGTATAAAAAGGTCTGGAAAACTGATTGTTTGCTTTCAATTTTTATAGGATATATCAACACACCTGCAATCTTAGCCTTTTTCTTTTCAATGATATACTTGTTATCTCACAACGCAGCATCTCTTACAAGCCTTTTCAACGGATCCCAAAGACTACTCACCACTTCTTGTCAGTAGTAACACTTCTCCAGCTTCTTGTTGAAGATATTCCGGATTCTAAATGTATGTTTCTATTACCTTAAAGTATTATAAATGTTGAGCACAATCTTTCAGGTTTTTTTTTTAATCCCACAAAAATTAGAGTATTGCACCAAAGTTAAATATACATTCACAACATCAGGGACAGGTAACTCTTCCATGTCCATCGGCACATTTGTCATTTTTTGTAGGGATTTTTTTCTTGAAACACATTTTCCCTGCATTCTTTTTTCTTCTCTACAGCATTTAAGAAAAAATTCTGGCAGAAGACTTTTGTCCTCACTATCAAGTCTGTGGAACTATAATAATATAAGCTGCCTTCGGTTCCTTGCAAGAGGAAGAAAGGCAGGGTAAAAAAATAATGCAGTAAGATAATGCTCCATTCTATTAAAATCTATGGAACAAGATTACAACGTAGCAGGGGAAAAGTATCCTCTTCTTAAAATTGGGATAGGGGTAGGAAACCCATCCTTCACAAAGGGCCCTGTTGCCCAAGCATCCTTGGGCAACAGTCCTACAGGAGGAATGTGGGATTTAGTCCTACAGGAGGAGACCTTTTTTCCTGCCTCTTAGATATTTGAATGGAGTGAAATTGCTCATCTTCAGTAATGCTTTGCTCTGTAGCATAGAGCTGTTACTCTGTAAAGCAGAACCCCAAAGCTCCATTCTTCACATAAAACTACTAATGCGGTGGGGCCATAATTTCACTAAAAGCATGCCTTCATGTAGCTTTGCTTTGATTTCTTGTTCAATCTGGTTAGTCCTGGTAGCTATATAATACGTTCAGCGTTGTATATTATACTTAACATTATATATACAGTACTATAGCAACATTGTGCTTTGTTACATTATACTCTAGTGTATTTAAAATCATGACAAAAAACACTATTGTAATACTTCATACACTACTTCATAGGTTTCTGAAGGCTGCATCCTGCCCTAAGTGATCAACATAATGAAAAAAAGCATAAGGAAAACCACTTTAACAACTCACATTTACATTCACTTTCTTCTGCTGGAGCAGAAAAATTCAGGAGAAAAGGATAAATACACTTCTAAACTTTTGCAGATACAAAACTGCAAGTATGAGCAATCTGTAGCTCTGCTCATCAATACATTGTATCAGGGGTCCTCAAACTTTTCCAACAGGGGGTCAGCTGAAAGGTGCCCATGGTGGGCGCAGGACGAGGCAGCCGCTTGCTTGCGAGGAGATCATTCCTCTGAGACAATCCAAACCGGTCTCCGCGTGGGTAAGCCACATGCACATGCAGCAAGTACAAAAACCTCTGGGGTGGGTCAGTTAAATGTGCATGGTGGGCCGGATCTGGCCCACAGGCTGTAGTTTGAGAACCCATGCATTATTTCATCTTGGAAAAAAAATAGGCAGAAACAGGATTGATGTAATAGTGTGTAGGTCAGCTAGAGTGGGGAGGTAACAGGACTGGACAAACCTATACTTCTGCAGAACCCCCAAATGTCAGTGTGGATGCCATGTTCACACAGGAGTGCACATGAAAGTCTGAACTATGAAATTCTTTACTGCAGAAATCATGCTCTCCGTCTATGTTGGACTTTTCATGTACAAAGCTCAGGTATAAAGTCTACTCATGGATGCCTGGTATTGAGTAGTATTGCTCAATCTAACTCAGTAGCCTATAGCTTTTTTGAGAATATGCCAGAAAAGGATGATGGGATGGGAGTGATGGAAGAGATCAAATGTAATGTAACTGCTGTGGAATAAAATGGGCTGTTAACACTGTACTGCAGGAAGGCTATGGTACTGGAATGGATAAGGCTTCAGCACTTGAGAAACCATTTGTGCTCAAAGGTCTAGGTAGATTGAGGTAGATTTGGTGTCTGAAGAGGAACAATTGATCAGGAAATGCTTCAGTCACAGCTATACATATCCAAGGATACCAGCAGTAGAGTGCATTATCTTTTGATGAGGCAAGTTTGAGTATGGATAATTGTTTCATTTATAGTAATAATGCTGTGTTATACTTGAGCTAAAGACATTCAGAACAGCTTGTTAAAACACTAAAACCAAGAAGCTAATGAAGTAGCTATACATCAACTGCTCTTTGCAACTGTTATACTGCACCAATTATGTGCTATGCATTGTAGAGAGACAAACAAATGTGTACATATATTAAATGGACAAAGGGGATAAGGAAGTGACAGCTTATCAGTGAATAGTGAAGATACGAAAATGCTAACAAATGAGCATTCTTTAAGTCTTGGTTTCATATTGCTACTCAGAGAATGTAAGCACCTATTAGCACATGACATTCATGTAAATGTCAATCCTTAACCATTGTGTGTGTTGTTACACAATCTGTCTTAAGTAAACAGAAATCTTGAGAATTGGTCCTATTGTTAGGTCATCCAAATTCATAATCCTTACAATTAGTAGCATTTCTTTTTACAGATATAAAGAATGCATTTCATCTGCGAGGACCCAGGTGTCAATGGATTTGTTCCACAGAGGATGATGACAAGTTCATATGGCTTTCTGTGTTGCAAGGGGCAATCAGATGTAGTATTGAAGAGGATGTGAACTGTTCTTGAGATTTTTCATTAGTTGCTCAATACCTCTGTGGGCACAGATGTGTGATCATTTAACTGGCCTCATATAAACATAATTGGCTTTAAAAAGGTGACTGCAGACAGTTAAGAAACCCAAACCAACAAAATCCACCCAGCTGCTAATAATGTAGACCTTGGACTTTAACAAGTAAAAACTTGGATTTGAAGCAAGCTTCCTTTGTAAGTTCTGCAGCAGAATGAGAAACTGTCTCAAACAAGATGATTGCTATGACATCCATATATTGCTCCAGTACTGATTAGGTGGACTCAGCCCCTGTGCTATATCTAATGAAGAGTATTCCAGTGTGTCAAAATCTTGACAGTAGGTTAGAGGTGATGAGGAAGGGCAGTCCCATCACTTGTGACTTACATGGCATCCTGACATCCAGTATACTGGCTTCCCCTTGCTAATTTAAGGGGAACAGATTGGTCATAAGGTACTATAGGGAGTCCTGTATATGTTTTTCTAATTTTCACAGAAGATTGACTGGATGATTTCAGTTACAGAATCCTAGCCTTTTTCAAGCTGTGTTACATACTTAACCTGTTTTTCCACTACTGAAGGGTAGTTCTCTCTGTAATACACATCCTTTTCATGCATTGAGCAAAAACAAATGTTCTATGCAAATAATAAAGTGCATTTGCTGTAACAATATATATTCTCTCCTGCCATAAAAGATGTAAGCTAGTACATAGTTGTACTTATTGTAACATATGCAGTTACCAAACATGATTTTTCTCATACTCTTTGCTTTGCTTGAACTGCTTTCCAGCTTGGAATATACTGCAGATGGATCTTTTTACTTCTGCCAAGAATCTGAGATCATGTTTGCTCTGTACTAAAAGAGTAGTTTGCATTCAAACATTAGCACTTAATAGAGGGCTGAGACTTTAGCAGGACATTCTCAGTTTGCCATTAAATACTGAAGTGAATATGGTGTTCCAGTTGTTCTTAGTAGAACTGTGCATTCCATCCAATGTGGAACTGCATTTATATCCTAATGAAAGACAACGTAATTCTCTGTGTTAAGCCAAATTAAAAGGATTCAGTCAAATTAAAATATTGTGCTGTTTTATTGGTGTAAAAATCACACAATTGCTAGTTCTGATTCTGCTGAGATACATCCATGCACTTTAACATCTATGATCCCACAGCCAGAATAAGCCATTAAATAGAATATCTGCTGTTAGTCAGCATTAATGCAAATTTACATATGAGATCAAAAGGTGTGTATTATACAATATACAACAAATCCTAATACAGTACATCAACCTGAATAGCAGGATACACTTAGGAAACTGTTAATAATGAAGCCTCTCTTCAAGCCGAAAGAATAAGGCTTGGAGACATAGGGAGAAATGGTAACCCAACCCTTTAAGGAACAAAATAGGTTTGGGGGTGGGTGGGGTGAGAGGCTGGGAAAGAAGAGCTGAGGTACTGACACATTTCTTGATCATAAAGTGTGTTACAGTAAAGTCTTCCAGATGCATCAGTTATTTAAGGGGCAATGTGCAAAGCATGCAACTACAGGTGGTGTTCAGGAAATGCGCATGACAGATTAACACCCAATCCTTTCACAGAAGGTATGCACTCATGTGCATGCTGCAAAATCAGGGTCATAAATGGAAATAGTTCAACAACTGTCAAGCTGTGGGCATGTATAAAATACAGAAACAGGAAAGGACAACAAAATTTATTTGGTATGGCAAGGAACTGAAAGAATGTGTGTGGCACTTGGAAAGCATATCTAGGGTTACTCAAAATGGCATGCTGTTTGAAATTACAGATGCCTTACAAGGTTGCAAGGTGTGGCTTGGAGATAACTGATGACCACAGCTGGTTAATCTTCTCTTGCACAGTCAGAAGAAAAATGCGTAAAAGGCATTTCTAATAAATATATGTGCTTCTGCATTAAGGTAGATATCCATTTGGATATCTAGGATGTTGTATTCATCATCTTTGACATGAAATATAGAAAATCCATCAGGTAATCGATTCCAGTTTGGGATATAGGCCACTGAAGTTGTACAAACCTTGCTCCAACTTAAAAATTGTATCCTCCCAAGAAAATGGGAAGGTTGGCAGTGCCAATATATAGAACATTCAAGGAAACATTTATTCCATTCTTTGTATTAAAATTATAAAAGTTACTTAAATACAACTGTGGACAGAGGACAAAACAATCACAAAAATGTTAGAGTGCACTGAGCTGAACATATGGGTTTTTAATCAGGCCTTTTACCCAATTTCCCCTTTCAGAGTTAATTCACAGTTAATGGCAATTGGCTTATAAGTGAGAGAAGGGCCGAAGCTGTTCCAGTTGAACCTCCAGTGAAATTCTCTCTTCAAGAACATCCTAGAAAGCAAAGATTTTCCATTTACATACTGTAATGAAAGGATGCCCCCAAATAAAATGCAACTATTATAATCAACATAGGTATTACTATTAAATACAGTATTTAAGAATTAAAATATGTCATGTGTGTTATATAACACACTGTGATATTCTAAATATCAGGTAATTATTTTCTGTAAGCCACATTGGAGAATCTTTCTGGAGCAAAATCAAATAAACATAACTCATTTTCTTTTATGTTAGTTTGAAAGGAGGAAGCTTCCCAAATAGTGCATGTGCTTCTACAATAGCAGACACCTGGCTTGTATCAGCAACCAATGCAAAAGCTCTGACTCTGATACATGAAAGAAGCAGCAGAATCACTAAAGTGGAAAATACAAAAAATAAAAGTACAACTTATGATTAAGTCTGGGGTTTCCAGTTCAGAGAGGTGAAAGATTTTACCTTTAATTGCTGCTGTAATTCACTGTTCAATCTGGCCAAAACCGTATTGGTCTCCTTATTGCGTCTGATTGATGCCTGAATAGCCTTCTTGTCCTTTCCCACTGATCTGAGGAATTATTTCATAAGACAGCTTTCAGAAAACACTGAGTATTTGGTTCAAATCATTTAGATTGTTCTGAATTAGTACTTAATTTCCTAGCTCCCTAATATATGTAGTTACATGGAGGTTAAGAAAACAGCCACAATGAAGTGTATAGTTTTCACACACTCACCTGTCAGTAGCCTGTCTACAAACTATATCTAAAGTACCAATCAGAAATTTTGCCTTTTTTCTTTGAAGATGCCCCGTTGTACAACTCAAACGACCTTTTAAAAACGCTTTGAAAAAAAGACAAAACTGTATTTGCACAATTCTCTGGACTATGACCCTTGTGTACGTTTTAGGAACTCTCCATTAACTCAGAATAATTATGCATGTTTCTGCAACAGTAGGTCCAACTTGAATTATGCTGTCACAAATACTAGTTGTTTATACTAACAAATGTAAGCTTATAACCCAAGTTTGCATTATTTTTCTTTGCCAAAAAATCAAGGATCTATCCAAATGAGCCTGTATTCAAATTATATGCAGTGTATCTAAACATTTTGCATAATTATATTTTGAAAAAAGGGCTGTTTTAAGCTTAGATTGGTTGGGACGTGCAAGTGAAAAACCCTGCCAATACGTTTACTAAAACTAGATTCTTGGTGTGACAGTAAAGTCTGTGCATTAAGAGATTTCCATCTTTACCAACTGTAACAAATTAGTGTATTTTTATTCATTACCTATGTGTAGTTGAAACTTCTTTACATTGGCTTTAGTAAACAATTCAATGATTCAAGCATTCCAGACCATTTGCATTTGCCTTTAATGGATATATGTGCCATTTAAAATGAAAATGTCTCAGTATCAGAGGTACTTATACACATCTTGGGTTACCTAGGAATAGATGGCTGTGAAGCAAGAACAGCAGCTATGACACCTGTTTTCTGTGTATGCTCCTCAGCTTCAGGTCTCAATTCATCCTCTGATTTTGGCCTTCTGCGTATAGGCTTTGGTGGTGGTGCTAAAGGTGTAGTGCTCTTGCCCTAGAAAAATAAAAATAGTTCATTAATACATAATGCAATAAACTTTTGTCCTTGCAACAAATTGATTTACATAATTATTAACGAGTTAATAAAACTAATAAATTTGTTTTAATAATCTAGGAGCTTTAAGAATGTGGGCTTATAACAGTTCTATTGCTTATCATATTTCTACCAGGGAGTCTGTGTAAATTCTATGTTAATTGTTCTAGAACTGCCTGTGGACAGCTAACACAAAAGTTTGTAGGCCATATTTCACCAGAAGCATGATTAAGTTTCCAGCCCTAATCACACTCATTGGAAAGTAAGACCCACTGAACATACTGCAGCTTACTTCCATGTAAGCTTGCATCCATCATGGTGAATTGCTGTGCTGCATAAATCTAGACCGCTTCCCACTTTGGATAATAAATGGACCCATAACTTATTCTAGGGTTTCTGTCTTGTCTGAACCTGACAGAGCAATCCCATGATAGGTTGCAAGAAGTAGCCAATAAGCTGTTCAGCAGGAGCTGCAACCGCCTCCCCCTGCAATCTTGGAGATCTTGCTACCACCACTGCTTAGTTGCAACCACTCCACTGATGCCCAAGTTGCAGTTTGGAGTGACCATCACTGGCTTTTTGTTGTTGTTAGTAGCAAAGTCGTGTCCGACCCATCGCGACCCCATGGACAAAATTCCTCCAGGCCTTCCTGTCCTCCACCATCCCCCGAAGTCCACTTAAGCTCACACCAACTGCTTCAGTGACTCCATCTGGTCACCTCATTCTCTGCCATCCCCTTCTTCTTTTGCTGTCAATTGTTCCCAGCATTAGGTTCTTCTCCAGGGAGTCCTTCCTTCTCATCAAGCGGCTAAAGTATCTACCATTGTAAAAACTGGGACAGGAAAAACGTGTGCAATTCTGACCATAAATATTGCACTTATCTAACAAATTTGGGCATTTCCATGGACAGGGAAATATATGCAGATTTCATAGTTATGTATTTCCTTGAACACAAAAAGGCTCAAAGTGGCTAGATTTGTTTTTTTTTAAGTGCTTCCAATGGAATGGGATGTAGATCCGTTCTTACTGGGCTTGGGGAAGTGTGGGAGAAGTGGAAGGCACTGAAAATTGTCAGGGCAACACTTAAAAATTAAGAGATCACACTAGAAAGGGAGAAACTTTGTTTTTTTTCAGGGCAAAACCCCTTTTGCTTTTTCAATTGACATCTCTCAAGTGTGAGTAAAGCAACCTCTATGAACCTTTGATTACATCCATGAACACTACCTACTAGTAGCCAGTACTAGGACATGAAATTCCTCAATTCAGGCAGCTATAAATGCACACCCAAAAAAGAAGGGGGGAAATGTTCAATTATGTAAATTTCTCCTGTTCCCATCTCACCAAAAGGTAAAGGACAGCTGACATTTATTCTGATGTGCCACTTAAGCAGCTCCAAAAGGGGGTGTGCACATGTAATCCCAGCAGGGATGTGGAAACAAGACAGAAGGTGCTGCACAGAACCTTGGAATACCAGCTGGAGGACCAGTGTGGAAGGACAACCCACAATAAGTCTTATCATCTGTTGGGTGCACCATAGGCTGTTCTGTGAGCAACCAACGTCATGTAGCTTATCTGCAGAGAGAATTGCCATGTTGTATTGTTTTCTACGAGAGAAATAACTTTTTATAAAGTGTCTTCATGTCAAGCCTTGAACAATAGGCACTTACCACTCATCACTCGATGATCTGAAGATCTGACACTCTAGCTGCATGTGAACATCTCCCATTTATTAATTTTGTCTGGATGCTTATTTAGATGTATGGACTGCTTATATTTGAAACAGAAGTGTGAAATATTTTCCCTTTCTTATTAATACCATTATGAATAGTTATTGTGAATGGATTTATGGTCTGTCCTTTGTCTCCTTTTGTTAAAACAGCAAATATTATTTACATATTCTTCCTTTGAAAGTAGGTATATAGTTGCAAGTTTTACATACTGCATTTGCAGGAGTACTAGAAGCTGCTTTGTCCTCAAGTCTTCCATCTGCTTTGGCAACTCTAAGAGATCCTGCAGAATCAGAAGGTTTTTCTACCTAGAGAAAAAAAGAACTCAGATATGCACTATGGCAAGCAAAGGAGTAATTC